TTGTTCCACACATACCTAAAGACCGACGGACCCTATCCCAGCCACAGCCAGCCTGTTCCAGCTGAGAGGGCGCTACTGAGAGAGCGACCGCCCATGTGGTTAGCATAAGCCCTGGATGCACCACCCTTCACGAACCGCGCAGACCACAGGGGCGTTACGTGACCGCGAGTGTCGGCCGGGGTCACTGGGGTCACCCTCAGGCCGCTAGAGGTCAGCCGCGCTCACCGAGCCGACGATCCGACCGTCCGCACTGAGCCGTACAGACGTGTCTGAAAGGTCCGGCGACCTTTTGACCCCACTGCGCCTCGGGCGTCCAATAGCCGAGCCGGGTAAACAGGGAGCTCTGACGGGGCCTCTGGGCGGGGCGAGCCGGGCGATGACAGATTGACGGCTCGATTGACAGGCACTAGCACCCGACAGCCATCATTGCGGCCGGACCTCCAGCCTCAGGGCGGAGATGAAAGCTTGATTGACCGGTACATCTCGACTGGTGTGCCGGTACGCCGGCGGGCGCCGCTCAAACCTGGCACCGAGCCGGGCGTCATACTAGCAGTCGGAGAGCGCTGATAGGAGTTTGAGGGTGGCTAGACCACGGGCGACTGGCCAGGGTCAGGCAGCCCGAGCCGTGTCCGCGCGTACCGAGCCCTCGTTACCTTGCCTGTCTGTACTGTCAGCAGGGGTCGACCATGGAGCAGAATTTGCCGTCGGTCGCTGGTGCAATTATGTATGAGCCAGCACGGCGCTCACCGTGAAAGTGGCCGGTGTAACTGCTGCGCACGGCCCCGCCGGGACGTCGTTAGTATAGTCTCGGCCGCCATAAAATCCCCCGCACCGTCTGCAGTAGAAACATTCGCGGAGATAAAACCGAGTCCCAGAGGACCAAGGAGGGTATTCGGGGCGTGGAGAGAGGTTTGTAGGTCCTGAGTTTGTGGCTGTCTTGGTCTTGATCGTTTTTCGCACGTTCGAATGGTCTGTTGGGGTGGGAGTTGGGTTCTACAGAAGTTTCTCGCTGCACAGATAAAGCGGACGCTGCAGACTGACGTTCGTTACCGGCAGTGTAGCGGCGCCGTTTATAGAGTCGTGGTCCGAATATATTGCTGTGATTCGTGACCCAGACATGGCCCAGAAACGTGCGCCCGCTTTCCCGTGGCTGGTCGTTTTTGTCCGCTCGGAGCGCCGCACGGGATCCTTTGTAATGCTAACAGCGTCGTGAACGTTACAATGAGTTTATGAAGGTGTTTGTGGCTCGCCTAGCTGTACCACATGTCCCACTCCGCGTGGATGCCCGATGTCCCATGTGTTTGTGCCACTTTCCGGCTAATCGTGTTTCCCCTGTACCGTTGTCCCTGAAGGTGTGAAGTGTCGGCTGCCTGTGACCATTGCCGTCTCTCCGTTCCAGTGTCGGCGGGAGCTCCAGCACAGACCGCTCGCCGTGCTGTGTCTCCAATGGCGGCCCCGGAGCGGCGTGCGGCACCGGCCGTGCGCCCTCTTCTGCTTCTACTGCTGACGGTTCTACCGGCGACAGCAGACTTCACCACATCCTGCCCAGACGCCTGCAAATGTATGTGGGTGTCGGGCAAACGGCAGGCCGACTGCACGGACATCGGGCTGACGTCGGTTCCGCGCGGTCTCAGCTCGGATATCCAGGTGCTGGACCTGTCCGGCACGGCCATCCAGGAGCTGCCCAAGGACGTCTTCCGTCAGGTGGGGCTGGAGCACCTGCAGAAACTCTACATCCGCCGCTCCCGGCTGTCTAATGTGCACCCGCACGCGTTCCGCGGCCTGGGACTGCTCATCGAACTGGATCTGTCCGACAATGTGATCGAGAAACTGCCGCCGGACGCGTTCGCCGACAACGACAAGCTGCGACAGCTGCTGCTGGCCGGCAACCCGCTGGGATCGCTGCCGGCGTTCCAGTTTCCCCCGTTGCCACACCTGCAGCGGCTTGATCTCAGTCGCTGCCGAATCGCCGGCCTGGCCGCCAAGACGTTCGCCAACCTGCCTGAGCTGGAGAAGCTCAACTTGCACTCGAACGAGCTGTCAGTGCTCGAGAGTGACGCGCTACAGTCGTTGTCGCAGCTCAAGTGGCTGACTCTTCACAACAACCCGTGGCGGTGCGACTGCCACCTGCGTCTGCTGCGAGACTGGCTCCTGGAGCGGTCCCTCTACCAGGAGGACACGCGCTGTGCCGAGCCCGAGCGTCTGGCCTCTCGCAGCTGGAGTGGCGTCCGATCGGACGAGTTCGCCTGCCGACCGCAGATCCAAATACCCGAGCCGCATGTGGTGGCAGAGGTCGGCCAGAACGTGACACTGCGCTGCCAGATATCTGGCAACCCGGCTCCGACCACCAACTGGGTGATGAGCGGTCGCATCATCAGCAACAACACCCGCATCCCCTTCACCGGCCAGTCTTACGTGATCCACGAGCAGGGTACCGTGGACCGATGGACCTCGCTCACAGTGACCAACGTCAACACGCAGGACGCCGGCCAGTACCTCTGCGTGGGCGTCAACCCGGGCGGCGTGGTGGAACGCAACGTTACGCTGACGTTCGCTGGTGGCGCGGTACCAGGTCCTGTGCCTGGCACTGATACGACGATCGGCGGTGGAGGCGGCGGAGAGGGCGGTATGCTGAGTCGGCCGCTGCTGCTCGGTATCGTCGTGGGTGGTGTGGCGCTGCTGCTGTTACTGCTGATGATTACACTCGTCTGTTGCTACTGCCGCGGCCGGCGGCACGGCGGGAAGGGAGCGCCGGACGAGCTGCCGTCCGACATGACGGCGCCCGTCACTGAGCACAAGCCGGACCGGATCGGTGACTACGAGAAGGTGCCGCAGACGGACATTGAGATGGAGCGGGTGCGCCGTCCGGCCGGGCTGGCCCACCCGCCGCCGCGCCGCGCCGGCTCCTACTCTGTCGATGACGAGCGCAGTCGGCGCTACAGCCTGCCCGACTCGCCGATGACATGGGACGGGCGTCGGGCGCGCGACTACCCGGACCTCCTGCCGCGCCGGGCGGGCCGCAGCTCCCCGGCGGGCAGCTCCACCGGCTCCGTACAGCCCGAACAGGCCTACCTACTGGCCGGCCCGCAGCCGCGGCTGGCGCCGGCACCGGCGGCTCGCGGCGTGAGGCCCGGCTACGTGACGCTGCCGCGGCCGCGCCGCCAGAGAACCCCCAGCTGGGGAAGCACTGCGAGCCGAGGCGGCGGAGGAGTGGCCAACGAGCCCATTTACGACACTCTGGGACCGCGCACTACTGCGGATGGCAGCTCACGGCTGAGTCTGAGCGCCGCCGGACCGGACACGCTACCGCCGTACTATGTGGCAGTGGAGGGTCCGCCCCCGCCGCGCGGCCCGGCTCGCTCGCACAACGCCAGTGCCGACCTGATCGAGCCCGTGCAGGAGGAGCCGGAGGAATGGGAGGAGACTCCTCCTCAGCCGCTGTCCAGCACGCTGCCGCTGGGCCTTGCCGACGCGGCCAGCACACCATCCCCTCCGAGCCGTGTCGAGCCGGTGGGCATCCTGCCACCACCCAGCCGCTTCGAGCCGGGCAACCTGCAGCGCAAAGTGACGCCGCCGGTACCGCCCAAACCCAAGAAGATCACGCCGCCCGTGATGCCCAAGCCGGTGCTGAACGGTACCCGGGTGATGGCGTTCCAGGATGAGAGCGAGGACGGCACAGAGGTGTGATTGACCCCGGGACTCGCTGCTTGAATGTGATAGACGTCGTGTGGGGCGGGCCGCCGTGAGCCGGGCGGCGATATGCTCTGGACACGGCCTGCCCGACCGATCTCGTTGGATGTCGCTCGTCGACCTCTGAGCTTCCGCAGTCGCCGAGCTGAGCTGCCGGAGAGCGGCCAAAGAGCTGTCTCCGTGGTGATGAACCCGTGACCACCGACCGGCGGCGTCTGGTCAGACTCGCGGCTGTAAGAGCGTGTTCCTAGCGACTGACGGCGTAGGCGCCGCGCGTCGACCTCGTCAGTGTACTTATGGGGAGTATATGTTGTCATTGTATGCGATTTACATTTGTTGTCAATACCCAGTGCTGTTATATTCTTTATTATTGAGTTTGCCGGACGTATACAGTCACAATTGTGTGGATCATGTGTCTTGTGCGCCGCCGAACCTTTACGGTTTCACTTAGCTGCTGGATGACTGGGAAGAGTCTATGACCTCTGTGGCGAGGACGCCCATTAGGCGACCCGTGTCGGGGTCACCCGAGGTCACCGCCGGTCAACAGGGTGGCCACCTTTTCCGGCCTCACCTGCGCTGAATACCGAGACGAGCTGAAGAGGTCAGCGCTACATCAATCGCCCTTCTTGCGACGCGCAAAAACGGCAGATTGTTTACATTGTTGGACGCATTTATACTCTGGCCGCGGATGGCTTTTTGTTAGTTGTCTGGCGTGCGGCGATCGTGTGGCCGTCGCGTGTCGCTTGTGCGCCGCGCGGCCCACAGCGAGCCTGCTGAACCGCTGCGCTAGATGTGTCATATACCGCATCCATATTTTTGTGAATACATCGTGCATTTTACAGAGCACTTAGGCGTTTCTGAAGGTTTTTCTATTACACTATTTTAGCCTAGCGTTGTAGTCTACTGTAGTGGACCAATGTAAACAGAACTTTCAGAATCGCGAACGCCGTCTCAAACGTCTGGCTCACGTGAAAGATGCTGTGCTAATTCAGAAGTTTTAATAAGTCGCAGAAAAACGTTTGAAGACCGTTTGGACTTTTCCGCGGAGTGACTTTACATTTAGTCTCAGCATATTTAGCTAATTAGTGTCGTTCCCCGAGCATTCCATACTTCAAAATGTGCAGTTGTCATGCTTCAATAGGTTCGAAAGAGTGCAGCTGCGATATCAAGCATTTCCTCGAGCAGCCAGGCCGTCCGCGGCGACCGCCACATCACCGCCTGCCGTTCACCTTCTGCCGGCCCGTGAGCTGCTCTTCCCGGCGCGACCTGTTTGCGCATGGTCCGCCGCCACGTGACCCCACAAAAACGCCTCTCGCTCCGGCGCGTTGCCCTGTATTGGTGCCTCGTCACACTACCCGCTCGCTCGTGCAGACTGCAGATCACCGGTCGGCTCACTAGCGCCCCTGGCGGACGCGCGCCGAGGCTTCGACAACGGCCGGTCACTGAACCAACATAGGGTGGGCCGGCGAGCGCAGAGACCAATTTGGCACACAACAAACCCGGCGCGCGCAATGTACCGCCCAGCAGATCAAACCTAAAACAACCAGAAACGCCTCTGGAATGTACATAACATACAGACTCAGCAGATAAAACAATGCGCGCGCTAGCATGAATAAAAATTACGCACGGCTGCGGTTAAAGGGGTACAAAATGCCCGCAGCACCACTGTTCAGTTGTCAACCCAGGATCTAAGAGCTAAGATCAGCCGCATGGTCGCAGTCTGTGTTTATCGTGCCCCCCCCCCCCCCCGCTCTCATCTGATACAGACACGCTCGCCATCACGCACCATACACATCGCGTCACAGAGGCGTTGTACTCGGGCGGACGTCGCCTATGGACAACAGAGTGGTCGGCCGCGGCCGCTCGAGCCGCTAGTCCGTCAGTGTGGAGCCGCTCTCCGAGCCCGTCACAGGGGCGCCGGAGTCGGCAGAGGTGGCCGAGCCAGTGCCCTCAGAGCTGGAAGAGACGCAAGATAGCTTACTACATGACTGACCCCAACGATGCACTGAAGTTACTCTTGCAACAGTGTTAACTAGTCATCTTACTGCCAGTAGAAAAGCGTACCTAATCAAGATACATCACCACGGTAGCACATTAAATGAATAAATCGATCACTTTTTATCGTAGGGCTCACGCTAAATTGTGCCAGTCCTTGGATCAAGCTAAATGCATTTGATGTGACGGAAAGTGGGACTCATCTTGGCACCTATAATCACTTTCTCTGGTCTCATCTTCTTGGAGGGTTCGTTTTGCTGCTTTAGGGCATTGGAGAGGCTCACCTGACGTCCATTCTGGGACTGTCCGGGCCGGCGGGGCCGCTCTGCGCCGACGAAACCGCACCTGAGCCGCCATCAGACGAGGCACTGCAACAGAGACGAGGAGCCTGGTCAGACACCGATATACACGCGAGTCCGGTCAGACACTGTAACATACTACCGGGATCCCTATCAGACACTGACCAGACTCCAGGAAACCCGTCAGACACTATCAAACTACGCGGACCGGGTAAGACACTAACATCCCTCGTTCGGAAACTACAGACCCATGAAGCCCGGCCAAGCCCCCGTCAAACCCCGCCAGACACAGACCCCATTCTGGCCGCTCTGTTTCAGCTCTGATAGGCAAGCTGCGCTGTTATGGTATTGGTGACCGAGTGTTGTCTTGGATTGAATCATTCCTGGATGACAGAATGCAGCAAGTGTCCCTATATGGAAACCTGTCAGATTTGGTCCCTGTGCGCAGTGGTGTGCCCCAAGGCTCAGTGTTGGGCCCATTGCTCTTCTTGCTCTATGTCAATGACTTGCCAGATGCTGTCACTTCAAATGTGCGAATGTTTGCAGATGACACAAAGCTGTTCTCAGGCATCTCTTCTGAACATGATGTGCGGACATTGCAGGCAGACCTGAACGCCCTCGTGGAATGGTCTAGAACTTGGCAGCTGCCATTTAACGAGAATAAGTGCAAAGTGCTTCATGTTGGTGCAGCCAAGGACCACCACTCATTTCAAATGGGGTCGGACAGACTGACAAACACGTCAGTCGAGAGAGACCTGGGTGTGCAGGTCGACTCAATCTTGAAGTTTCGACAGCAAGCGTCTACGGCGGTCTTCAAAGCGTCTCAAGTTCTTGCCGTCATCCGCCGGTCCTTCGCCTTTTTAGATGAATTTACCCTGCCTCTTCTGTTCAAATCTCTCGTGCGGCCTCACCTGGAGTTCAGCAGTCTTGTTTGGGGTCCGTTCAATAGAGCTGATCAGAAGGCAGTCGAAAGGGTTCAAAGAAGAGCCACCCGGTTAGTGGTGAGCATCCGCCACCTTCCATATCCTGAAAGGCTGAAGAGACTGAAGCTCCCGTCACTGTACTATCGGCGTAGACGCATGGATATGATTCACGCATACAAGATGCTGCACGGCCACGTTGATACTGATCCTTCAGAGCTTCTGGCAACGAATCCTGAAAGGCGAACTCGGGGTCACACACTTAAACTACGGAAGCCTCGTGCAACCTGCCGTGCCAGACTGAATTCATTTTCTGTGCGGTGTATTAACGATTGGAACGGGCTTCCAGCAGAAATTGTACATTCGCCCTCAGTCAACGTCTTTAAGAACAGGCTGGATGCACACTGGGAGTCGATCTGGTACTCCACTCCTGTAACAGACTGAGTACTAAGTGAAGTTATGGAAATCGGCGAGAACGGGCCCTACAGGACATCGTGCCTCTTGCCCCGATAACACGAAGAAGAAGAAGAAGAAGCTCTATCGTCTCTCACCTCTGCTGCGGTGTCAGTCGGTCCGAGACGGCCCCGCTGGGGTCGGCTGACGAATCTGTGTCGGGACGCGGCGGGGAGGTCACCATGGGCACCGAACCAACAGCGCTGCCTGAAACACCGGCACCCACGGACACGGGTTACAGTCGCCTGTGTTCCTTACGGCATACAGGAATATAGGACGGTCATGACCACGGTCATGGCCGGCTGGTTTACTTACGGCATATGGGGATAGAAAGACACAAACTGCCATGAGTTCTACACAGACCGGTCGGCGACCATGACACATAATACTACCAGTGTCTCTCACGCAAGCCATTCGTTTCCCCTCGAATCTGAAGCGACACGACTTAGTCCTCTGTGTCCAAGACAGTCCCTCAAGCTCACCGAAAGCGTCGCCACTGTTGAAATCCACCGGGAAGTGAGGTGATCCACTGCCAGGCGGCCGCGGAGGCGCCACGCCGGGCGACGACTGAGAGTCGGGACTGACACCTACGAAACAGAGCGAAGGTCACAGACGGCAGGTGCAGACAGGGAAGCCATTAACACGGACGCAGGCTTTACGGTTACGGGAGGCACGTGCAAGGAAAGCCGGGCGGCAAGTAGAGGGCATAACACGCTAAAATAAAATGGTGTCTGCAAGAAACTATCCTATGCCATCATCCAACTCAACCTGGAAATTCTACGAAGTAGCTCAGTCTGCCCAGCTCAGCACGCAAGAATATCAGACTGGACACCAGGTTACTCAAAATTCTCCCCCACAAAAGGCCCTTAGTCATACCTCACACCACACTCAGCTCCACACTGCAACCGTACCAAGCACGGTATCCCATCATCTCCCCACCTGACTCACCCTGCAGTGCGGCGGCCGGCGGCGGTAGCAGCGGCGGCGACGGCGGCCGCGCGCTCGGAGCCGAGAACGCGTCAAAGTTGGCCCAGTCGCGCTCGGCGCTGAGGTCGGCCGCCGGCGCCGACTGCCACACGTTGGCCTCGGTGGACGAGGGGGGAGAGGTGGCCCACGGGTCACTACTATCGGCGGCGCCGGACGAGGCTCCCCAGGGGTCGCCGGCGTCGGCGGCGGCCGGCGCGGACGCCCACGGGTCGCTGGTGTCCACCTCCATCCGGAGTCGGCCGTCCTCTCCCTCCTCCTCGTCCTCATCTTCGTCACTGCTGGAGCTGGAGACGCCGTGGGACGGCCAGCCGGCCGAGCCCACCGGGCCACCCAAACCGCCCAGCCGCTCGGCGCAGTGCTGCTCGAACAGCTCAGAGGCGCCGGGCCGGGACTCGGCCTCCGCCGCCAGGGAGAGCAGGCCGGCGGCGCCCAGCGGGCCCAGGCCCGAGCTGCGGGGACGAGAGTACGGTCAGAAGGGTACTTCTGCACTGCACCGTGAATTTGTGCACTGCACCACAAGGAAACGCTCAGAGTATTTAACTATGGTAGTTACATGCTGCTCAACAGCCGCACATCAAGCAGCACCGTGCGAAATGATAACTTTACACCGACCGGCCAGCCGGTAGCAGCCGGCGGAAATGCAGTTACACTGCACTGGCTGGATACGATATGAATCATCCAGACAGGACTATCCTCGCCCTACAGCTGTTCGGTTCCACGCTCAGTTGTGCAATTCAACACATCGTACCTAACCGTATCCACTGTGTGCCCCGTGCACACACGTAGCCAACAGTGCGGTGTTCTGCGTGTTGCCTCAATTGATCGTGTTAACCCTCCTGATCCTGAGCACCAGACACTGACCTGAGATCCCGAAACTCGTCATCTGCGCGACCGAACGCGTCCGGCAGACCACCCGATGAGCTGTCGCCCATGGCCTGTAGGAAACAGAAACGTACGAAATGGTATCAGCAAGTGCTCAAGGACAGCTTATGTCCGCCGTGAGTTTATCATAAAGCAGAGACGGATCCTAAACATTACGCTGCATACATCTTTCAGGGCAGAATGTAGGCTCACCAAAAGTAAACAACTCACGCCAGATTGACGATGTGTACAGGGTTGACCGTGAGTCAATTGACTTTCAGAACACCAGAGTCGTACCGTACCTTCATGAGCGCGGCTGTGAACTGTTGTGACTCGGAGACTCCACGGAAGTCGGAGTCACTGCTCGAGTCGTGCCTCTGGTCCGGCATCACCACCGGCTGAAACGAAGAGACTCGGTGAGGACAGGACCGACAGCTGACAATGTGGACACATGCACCATCCATCGGGCAGCGAGCTGGGGGCTGGAGACCCGTTTCCTGCCGTCTATTGAGCCAAGCTACATAACAGACCCCGGGCTAACCGATTCCTGAGTACAGAGTCCGGCTGTCCGCGTGGCGAGCAAACATCAGTCAGCATTCACATTATACAGCCCTCCCCTCCCGACTGCCATCCCGTCCAACACCACAGCCGAGTTCAAACCTACCCATTCGATCCCCACACAGCGACCCTTTAATCCCTTTCCTCCCCGCGGCGTCCGACTAACCCTATTGAGTTCGTTGATGCGCGGCAGCTGAGTGTCTGTGAAGGAGTGCCACCCGGACCGCACGTGTTCAGGCAGCTGGTCAATGAGTCGTCGCAGTAGCTCGCTGTTCGGTCCCGAGTCCATGGCGGCCACGACCTTGTTGGCCATGCTGATGAGGTGGCCGCCGTAACCGCGCAGCGACCGCCAGCACCTGAGTGGGACGGCATAGAGGGAGTGAGGGGAAATCAGACAGAGTGAGCAAAAGATGCAGACAGGGAGGAGCTAAGATGGTGCATTTGAAATGCTGTCATGATAGCCACTCTACAACGATATGCTGTTGAAAAATGCATGAAGCAAGTACTCAGTCATAACCGATACCCCAAATAGCAGCTCGGTTCGTTTAATAACAGAATGCAGGCAGGCAGCATACCACAGCGCTGTGAACCAGTGACACTGTAATATGTCAATGCTTACCGGTTCTCATCACACTTCTCTGTGGTTGCATCTTTCTCCTCCATTCCTTGCAGGATTCTCTGAATAAGCCTCGAGGTGGTAAATAGCTGAGAAAGAAACGAATGAATCAGACACACTGAGTCAAAACATTTTTTAGCAAAAAAAAAAAAGAGAGAGAAAATTACCGCATTCAAAGAAGGCTGCACCAAGAACCTTGCTGATTCAGCACTACGAACGCAAGTTACCTCTAGTTTGATATCACAAATGCACGCAGATACCTGTTCGAGCAGCGGATGGGAGCTGGCATCCTCAGTCTCCTGCGGTGCGGACTCCAGAATCAGGCTCACGCACTGCTCGACTTGGGAGTGCAAAAAGTTGTTCAGAGTAAAGTGGAAAAACAGATCCTGTCGGCAAAAAAGAACGATACATCAGTCTTCAAATTGACAAAGTACACTTGCCTACAGTGCTTCATGGTAATCTGGTCATGCTTATTGCGTGATATGATGCTCAAGTTTGAAGTTACAACCTTATCTCATAGCTACTCAGGTTACAAACATAATTTGGTTTGTAACCCCGGACTTTGTAACCTAACACTTCCTGCTTGCTTTGGTTACATTAATTAACGCCATGAAAAAGAGACATCATATCAGCCGCGGCTCAACATGGAACAGTCACCATGAATAGCAATCACATCGCAGTTTCCAATGTAGCCTGTTCCGCCGGACGCAGACTCGTCTCTCACCAGAAGCACATCCACGGTCCCCAGCGCGGCCAGCTGGGCGCGCACGGCCGGCCGGCCGGTGGCCAGGAGGGCGACTATCAGGCGCGCCACCTGCAGACGAGTGGCGCCCAGCGGCGGGCTCAGCCGGCCCCAGCTGGTCACCAGGTCGGGCCGCGCCGGCGGAGAGACCAGGGTCTGGTGGAGCGCCGGCAGGCGGCTCAGCAGCGCCGATACCGCCACGGACACACAGGGCGGGTCGCCGCCGGTCGGGGTGGCGTCCTCTGAGCTCAGGCCCGTGGCGGAGACGGTCGGGGCGACGACGCCCGGGTCCAGCAGCGGCAGGAGCACGTGGATGGCGTTCACCAGACCGGCCTCTGTGCGGCCGCCGGCCAGCACCGCGTCCACCAGCGACGAGACAAACTCCTCGCTGAAAACGCGGACAACCGTACAGTCAGGGATAAGAGTTGGTCTCCTTATTTACTGGATCATAAAACATGTTTAAATCAGCTTTTCTTCATAAACTGAAACACAACTATAAAACCCCTTCCAATCCTCTCACCACCATTTCGCTCGCCCGCGGTTCCGGAGCTCACCTCTCGATGGAGGCCAGCAGCGGGTTGGGCTCGCGCTCGTCGGGCGCCTGCTGCATGGCCAGCTGCCGTCCGCAGGCGATGGCTGCTGTCAGCACTACCGCCGCGTTCGCCTGTCGTTCGGGCTGCTCGGCGTCCCCAACCAGGAGCGCCAGCCGCGGCACCAGACGCCGCTCCGTCAGCCACTGGCGGCCGGCGGCGACCCGTCAGCAGGGGGTTACGACAGCGGCCCGAGAGAGGTAGCCACAGTCCCAACACAGCACACAGTCTAATGGTACAGAGCTGTACAATACATATTTACACCCAACTGCACACAAGCCAAATTAACGTCAAAATCAGCGTCATCAGCACGTCCTCCTGACATATGGGCAACTATTTCACACGCCGGTCACGGCAAGCTTCTCACTACACTCTGCACTCCCAACGTCCTGTGAATTAGCCAAATATCCGACCATCGGCGGCACGCAGAGTAACTCACCGTGAAGGTGGCCTGTCGCGGCTCGGTGTCCTCAATCCCGGAGACAAGGTGACACAGCAGGTCCATGATGGCTGAGGTAGCCAGGTGCTGGAGGATATGGTCGACAAACTGCTCCTGCGAGCGCAGGTACTCGAGCACCTGGCGAGGAATAGTCAAATTCGTCGTCAAAGATTTAGAGAAGCTCATCAGATAGAGAGAAGCCCATCGGCCCAGACCCAGCACGACAAAATATTGAGGTGGTCATTTGGCTCTCACAGATATTCGTTTATATAAAGCCTTTGCTTCTCATATCGGCTAGGCCAGTCCCAGGTCATCCCGCGCTAAGAAGATCTGCATCTTGTTCCAGCCCATCTCCAACTATAAATTTGTTAAGTTCTGTCTCACCTTCCTGTTTCTTCGTGCCGTCCCACGTCGTCACCCACCTGGTCGGTCCTCCTGGCCAGCAGCAGTGACAGTGTGCGCGACAGGAAGCTGGCCAGCAGCGGGTTGAGCGGCGTCGGCTGGTGCAGCGGCGCGCACAGCCGGTCGAGCAGGGCGCGATCGGAGGCCAGCCGGTCCAGGACGGCCGGGATGGCGCACTGGACCACCTCGCAGGCCAGGTTCGGGTGCCGGTACTGCGTGGTGAGCTCGGCGCCGGCCGGCGGCTCAGTGACCAGACGCTCCACCAGGGCGGACAGCACCTCCGGCCGCGTCAGGCTGCAGGCACACACATCGATCAGTGACGCTACGTCCACAACTTCAGACGCGTACTTACGCGTTAGAAAGAAAGATCGAAACAAAAAGATGGTCAGAAATTCGTCGGGCCATAAACGCCGAGCATGCGATCATTTGAGTCGTGGAAAGAAGCACATTCGAAGGAGACAGTTCAAACAAATTGGCTTCAGGCGCTAACAATAATTCAGCCCTAAGGGTTAAGTTAAAGCAACATAATTTGTTTTCTCAGCGCATAGTTTATAGCCTTGTCCATGCGTCACCCAGTTCGCCAGTCATAGCTATGTCGGCGGACTTTACCCTTATCTCACACAATGCATGATGCATACCATTACTTATTTTCTATCTAGGACCAATGAGGGCTCCACTTTCTCTTTTAGCAACTTACAACTCGACCACTTTGCTGTTTTGCGCCTTGCACTCTTGGATAACATCATCTTCATCGAGGAGCTGCTCCAGAGTGGCATCCTGAGAACGAAACAGGCAGGTTCATCATATTATGGACGATTTCGCTGGACTAAGCCATGCTGGGCCCAAAGCTTAACCTCAAGCAATTACATAAGTTCTGGCTTTCATCCTCACATAAATGACAGGATACAGCTTTTTACTGTTGCACAACACCAATTAAGAAAATGGGTGAGCTGGTAAACAAGTCAAAAGTAGCAGTTGCTATTTGGTTATTCAGCTTCCTGCACAACAACAATAAAAGCATCATTAGCATGCCTATATGCATCAAGTGATAATAGAACGGCTGTAGCCTTCATACAAGCTACTCACCTCTTTATCTAAAAGCTGGTCAACACTTGCAGAAGTAGCTACATGAGACTGCCAGAACATATTTGCACCTGCAAAGATGTTTGACATTAATGTGTATTTCATGTTTTCGCAAACTGGATATACCTGAAAATGTCAGAACAAACACTCTTAAATTGTTACACATTGCTTGGATATCTAATAAAAATGATTTGGCATTTTGGGAATTCATGCTACTACCTGGCCATTGGTGACAAGTTTATGTATTTCTTGCATGCCTCTCAGGATAAAGAACAGCATGCTTACCACAAAATTTGTGAGCCTCCAACTTAAGTTCATATAAAAAAGCAGCCACATATATCACATTCACCATTCTCACAGCTCAGCAGTTACTTATCAAGTCATTAATAGGACTCCACATAGGCAATCAAAATTCCAGCTAACATTTGCTGGAAGGTAAGGGTGCAAGCATTCACACAATTTTAGCTACATACTAACTAATGCTGACTCATCTGGTAAGACAGGTGATTTAGCCAAAAACTGCTAGCCCCAGTTCATATTGTTGTGCATGCTACTCTTCCTGGGCAGCTTCATGGTTGCCTGTTAGACAGCAACTTTCAATGGACACTGTAGGTGCAGGTCAAGTAATGAACTAAGCTATGAAGATGCTGGCATTGCTATTACTCACTCAGCTATGCAAAGCCAGCATATGTGCTTTCAAGAAACACAGATGCAGGCCAGCAAGGCTCAGCAGCAGAAACAATGTTTGTTATGGCTTTTTGCACATGACAAACCATATCTAAATGCCACAACAAATTTTGTATGTTGTAGGTTGTAGGTTCTAGGTTGTAGGCTGGTTAGGTGTAGGTAAGGTTACGTCAGGTTTGATGGTTTTGTTCTGTATTTACTGTGAACAGACATGCGATGAATCATGAGATAGGGGTAATGGACCACGTGGCATATGTGATACACACCCAATTTGATTTTACCATCACATTGCCTTGCCCATCATATTTGAATTTACCATTACAATCACACCTGCCCAGGAAAGGGAAGTTTTTACAAAATATAGGCAATTTAACATTTTTAACGTTCATCACTCAACATTTTAGGTGTAAATATAATGAAAAACCAAAACCTGCTGTTAATTGATGTTTTCAAAATAGGGCCAAGAAAATAGGAATTCTTTTATTTTTATTCTCTTCTTAAGAAATTGTCTTTTGCTTGCCCTTTTTTAATAGATCTATTAGCATGAGGCTTAAATTTTTCATAACATTTATATTTAAAGTCATGAGCCTCATACGAGCAGTAACACTGTCACTCACAAACTTGACAGGAGCCAACACTACAGACCTTCAGCCTCAAAAAAATTTCCGTGCATCTTAAGTAAATAGGTAAAGTTAAAACCACACTTTCTTGCTCGCCATTTTCACCACAAAACAGGCAAATTTTTCAAAATCGATCATCTACATTGGAAAGGCGCGGTAAATGTAACCGATAGTTAAAACATTGTAAAAATGAAAACGCGACAAAGATGAATTACGATGCAATCCCATCAAAATACAGCCCACCTCCAAATACCTGAATCTTGAAGGCTGTTACCGTTGTATATGCAAACAAATAAAACGAGTTCTTATCTCCACATCCGTGTACCACTACAACCAAACTACAACGGATTCCTAAAATATCAATCCAGGCGCATTTGCACGCCCCCAAATTGATGATTATGCGATTACAATTACGAGTTTACGAATCGCCACGCCCCGCGTGGATTGTCCATGAAGGTAATACAATACAATACAATACAATGTTCAAGGTTCAACATATTCAAAACACTAATATGACTCGATCAGGACAATTCACGAGTCTATGCTTTGGTTAAGGACAGTTTTAGACTGCTTTTTTGCATTTAATTAAAATTCATTTTTCTTTCTATTACTTCAAAATGATTAATTATCATATATAATTCATTATTTTAGCTCTTGTGTTATTCTGAGTTTTCAATTATCACTCAAAGCAAAATTTTTGATGACGTCATTCAACCTGTTTGATGCTTAGGCAATATTTGCGCATGTATTTTGATACGATACGATGCGTTACGACCGCTACGACCGTTGTTACGACTTTATAGTCACCGTGGTTACGACGGTACGCGACCACGCGACCCACGCGACCACGGCCGTATCCTATCCTAGCCCCTAGGCCGTATCCGAGCCGTTCCGTTACGCCGTTACGATGCGATAGGGCTGGTCGTAAGTGAAAGTCAAAGTTGAGAGGAGGAAGCGATTGAGAGGGCGTCATCGTCAACCAGTTACGATCGAAATCATTTCATTACATTGAATTGTTTGGGACTACGGCCGTACGAAAGATTGACGCCATTCTTTTTATACGTGAGTTCTCTATATACCGTGATTGACGCGAATGATCAAGTAGGTACGGTACGTATGGATATTTGTCATTTGCTAGTGGAGTTTTTGTGTGGATTTAAATGGGATTAAGTGCTTCGGGAAGCTGACCCACTTTTGTAGATACTGGGATTATCCTTCTTTTATTTTCTCTTGTCCTTGAAACTCTGCATTTGTTTTAAAAGATGGGCACTGTTCAAATGTTTTTTATCAAATGCGGCTGGAATGTTTGAATGGGTGGAGTGATGAGCTTGAACCCACCTAAGCAGAGCCTGACATGCAGGCCCTGATCGCTACCATTCAAGTGTACAATGCCAGATACCTGGCAATGGAAGGAATGGAAGAATTTAGGATGCTGTGTGTCACTGGTCGTAAAAGCCAGACATGCTCTGAGGGCTGTTCATAGGCCCTGTGTGAGGTTGGACCGTACACAGCCTCCAAGCTCCGCCCACTGCATCCCTACCTTACATCAGCCTTCCGTCACTGCATCCAGTGACCGCTGTGGCCAGCCGAGGCCATTGCAGAACTTTGGGATGATAGGATATGGGCTGGCATAAACATTGGGCTGTGCTGTGTGCAGGACACTGGCAGTGAGCTGAGAATGTGAGACCATTGCTCGGAGTCGGGGCTTTGGTCCTATGGGGGTCTTGACCTCATCCATCGTTTGTCGAGTGGGATCACCGCCAGCCTGGAGAGGGAGCGTGAGGGGGGATGGGGGTTTGTCCTGAGGATTGCGAGGATGAATGCAGATTGCAGACTCAACATTTCTGTCAGGAGTCTTGTAAGATCAGCATGCTACCATATTTTACATAAACTATTAAAGCTCCCCATCAGCATTTCTTGGTCTCTCATTGGTGAACTGCACAGTCCACAGACTACTTGAATTCACCAATGAAGACTGCTGAGAGATGCTAACAGGCTGACAAATTACTGAAGAAATGGTACCTGAAATGGTAGCTGTACAGGGCCCTTGTCAATGTTGAATGTATGGCCAGAAACCAGGCTGCAAAACATGACATTACTGCAAACATGAGTCTACAGACAATAAGCTGCATTTGCAGGGGGTCTGGATTCTTGTAAAATGCTGTGCTAGGAGTTCTTCAGCATGCTACAATGTAAAGAAGGCCTGGACCTGTACCCTTCCTGTCTCCATGGAAAATCTACCTACATCATGCCACTACAATCCACACTGGACTGGCTGATTATCCCAGCACTGATAAGGTTTCATTGGAATTACAGCACCTTGCAGCTTGGATCATAAGTGCCCAGCCCTGGTTAGCTGTCATTATGTTTAGTTGGTACTAGCTAGATTATATTGACAACATGACACTAATATTGTCCAATGATGCTGAAAGGAAGTGTAAAGACTATACTATTAGCTACCTTTGTCCATAATGCTGACCACCATTCTGTATAGTCCTGACCTATGTGTGCTGTTTGCAGATCATTCTTGAAGTAGACAGTCGTGAGGTTGGAACAGGCTGTTCACAATGACGAGCGCAGCAGGAGATGGCCCGGGTGTCTCTCCTGCCCAAGCTACTGAGTCGACTCTCAGTGCGAAGGAATCGCAGTATGACATTGTTAAAGCCACTCAGGTATGTATTTTTATACTGGGTGATGGCTGATAAATGGGTCTGGAGAAGTAACCAGTGTGCATAATGGAAGTGATAAGGATGGGTGGCATGACTTGACTTCTCCACACCTAAGTTTGTGCTAGCTCTCTGAGCTAGGTATTATGTGCATAAGCATGACACACTCAGTATGCAAAGGTGTCCTGCTGCCAGATGAACACATGATGCCATTGTGTATGATACAGTGTGGATTGCATATACTGCTCTCTGAGCTGTGCAGTGAGCCAAGCCAACTACGCCTAACTTCTTCTTCTTCTTCTTCTTCTTCTGCATCCCGCCGCCAGCCCGCTCAGGGGGGCGGCGGCGCAGGCGGGTCGAGCGGCGGCTCGGTCCGCCCGACACCCTCGATGAAGTCGACGACCCTCGCCGCCGGGCCGCCGAGGACGTCGACCAGGCGAGGGTCGACACCCCAGCGGCGGCGGCGGGCCGCCTCATAGGCCGGACAAACGGTCAGCAGGTGCGTCACGCTGTCGGGCTCCCCGCACGCGGGGCATTCGTCGTTGGCTGCCAGGCCAATCTTGAATAGCGTGTCGCGGGTCAGTGGTGATGTGCCGGTCCTCAGCTGGGACAGCGTCACCGACCCCCAGCGCGCCAGGGAGTCGTGGCCAGGCGTGGGGTCCGGGTGCGGGTGGGCAGCGGTTGTCCTCCGTCGCGACAGCTCCCGGACATGGCGCGTGACGGCGGCCCGCGCACTCGACAGGTCAATCGGTGCGCTGTCTTGGTCGCCCGCCGTGGCCTCGCCAGCCAGGCGGTCGGCGGTCTCGTTGCCGTCCAGCCCGGCATGGCCTGGCACCCATTGGAGCACCGTCTCGGTGCCGTTCTCGGCGAGGGTGTTCAGCAGCCTCCAGACCTCGGCGGCCAGAGCCATGGTCTGGCTAGCTGGGCCGCGGCCGAGTAGTTGTAGCCCAGACCTTGAGTCGGTGAGGAGGCGGACCGACTTGATCGATGCCAGCTCCCCGTCCTCCAGGCCGGCCACAGCCGCGAGCGCCTCGCGCATGGCGGTCAGCTCTGCTCTCAAGCTGGAGCAGACCGCCCCTGCAGGAGCGCGCACGGTTTCTTCTTTGTTGAGGTGATGAAACTGGATCAGCGCGCCTGCGCCGCCCTGTTCCATCCCGCCGCGAGCCGAGCCGTCCGACCAGATAGTAACGTCCGGTTGCGGGAGCTCTGCAATGGCTCGCAGGGCAGCTTCTCTGCGGACTGCAGGCGGGTCCGACCGGCGGGTGGCCACGGGCAGGTCTACCCTGAAGGTGGTGCCGCCGCGGTGGCCCAGCCATGGCGGGTCGCAGCTGTAGAACGCCATGGGTTCCACCGGGAGCTCCTCGATTCCTGCCTCCTCGGCGAGCCACTTGCCGACCCTCCTGAGGCACGGTCGGTGGGGGAGTGCTGCAGTCTCGTCTGGTGGCTTGGGCGGCGGTCTTCCCGCGGCAGTGGCGTCGTTGCGTGTTCTTTGCCATGCCTTGTAGGCTCGGTGTTGGAGGCGCGGCTGTACCTCCTTTCGGAAGAGGGACCTGCCCGGGTCGTTCGGGGGCAGACGGATTACACGCTGGTACTCCGTGCCTGCCAGCTGTAGGGCCCGAAGCGAGAGTGTCGGGAGGCCAGCCTCGGCCAGGAGGGCGTCCTTCCGGGTCGCACGTAGGCAGCCGGTGATGACGCGGGCGCACTTGTTTTGCTCGGCTTCGAGGCGTCCTCTTACCGACGGGGCGGCGTATGTCCCGAAGACGGCGGCGCCGTAGTCGAATAGGGCCCGGATATAGCCGATGTAGGCCGCTCTGATGGTTCGGCGGTGACTTCCCCAGGTCTTTCCGGCCAGTGCCTGTAGGCATCGCCTCCGTCGGGACATCTTAGCTTTCAGGTCGTCGATGTGGTCCGCGAAGGTGAGTTGGGGGTCATACTTGATGCCCAGGAAGGTCGGGTTGCGGGAGTAGGGCAGCTCCTCTCCGCGCAGCGTCAGGTACGGCTTGACCTTCCCTCCGCTCTCTCTTGGGTCGAGAGTGAACAGGGTGGCGGTGCACTTCGTCACGCTGGGCGTGACTTTCCAGCGTCGCAGCCACGTGTCCACCGCGTCCAGGCAGGGCTGGAGGAGGGCGTCGCACTCTCTGGCAGTGGGGGCGCATGCCAGCAGTGCCACGTCGTCCGCGAACAGAGACCGCGAGACGTGCTCCGGCATTGCTGCGTCGATGTCATTAACGTAGATCAGCCATAGGAGCGGCGCCAGCACGCTGCCCTGGGGGAGGCCCTCCTGGAAGACCCTGAGGTCTGAGCGAGCAGCGCCCCAGCGGACGCGGGCGCGCCTGTCCGACAGGAAGGCCCTCAGCCACTTGATGAAACAGCCGGGGACTCCCAGCCGGGCCATCTTGCAGAGCAGGGCGGTCCTCCAGACTCGGTCGTAGGCTCTCGCGAAGTCAAGCAGGACCATGACCGCCCGGTGGGGTTTCTTCTCCTCGAACGCGTCGAATATCTGTTGGGATATTCGGCCGAGCTGGTCCATGGTGGAGCGACCTCTGCGGAAACCGGCTTGGTTGGGGTTGAGCTTCCCTCTCGTCTCGAGCCAGTGCTGCAGCCGGGCCTGGATCATCCGCTCTGCGAGCTTGCTTGTGGTGGAGAGCAGGCTGATCGGGCGATAACTGGACAGCTCTGACGGCGGCTTGCCTTTCTTGGGGATGGCTACGATTTCTGCTGTTCTCCAACTGGCCGGGACGTCCGCTGCTGTCCAGGACTTGTTGATCAGAGCCAGGAGGAGAGTCTTGCCTATTGGGCTTATCTGCTTCAGCAGCTCGTTGGGTACGCCGTCCGGTCCCGGGCTCTTCCCGTTCTGGAGCTTGTCCAGGGCTGCGTCGAGTTCGGCGGGTGAGAATGGCGCGCACGGTCCACTGCGTTGGGCGTCGCATGCGCAGGCACTCACTGCAGCGCGCGCCTCCAGCTTGATGTCGCGATCCTCTTGTTTGTTGTGTGGGATCCGGGATACTGCCGCATATGCCTGGCATAGGGCGTTGGCCTTCTCCCTATCTGTTACTGCTGGTCGGGCTGGGCGGCCAGGTGGGCCAGCGCGGTTGAGGGGCTCTGCTGGTTTCGCCGGTGGTTTGCGTCCGTCCAGAGTGCGGATGAGGCTCCAGAGGTCGGTGTTGGGCCCCAGTTCCGCGATGCGCTTGCGCAGGAAGCTTGTCTTTTCCTCGCGCAGGACCGTGTCCGCGTTCTTCCTTGCTTGTTGGTAGTCCCGGACGTCTTCGGCGGTATGGTTTGGCGCGGCCACCTTGGCGCGAGCTTCATTCCTGATCGCAATTGCTTCGTCGCACGCCTCGCTCCAGAACGGCTCCCTGGTCCTTCCGCCGTTTCCGTATGGGATGGTGCGGCGTGCGGCGCGGGTGATGGCTGCGGTGAGTCGTTTGTCGAGTTCGCTCGCCGTCAGGTCTCCGTGGTCGTCCCAGCGGCCTATGATGCCGTCGAAGGTCCTGCGGTACTCCTGCCAGTCTGCCTTCCTCAGGGACAGGCGGCCTCTTCCTCGGCGCTGCGGCTTCGGTGGAGCTACAGGGATGCTCGTCGTGATCGGGAGGTGGTCCGATCCCATCGTCTCGCCGATCTCCCAGGTTGTTCCTCTCGCCACGGCAGCGGTCGCCAGGGTAACATCCGGCGTCGACAGGCCGCCCGTGGCTGGGTTGATGCGCGTGGCCGAGCCGTCGTTCAGGATGGTCAGTGAGGCGTCGATCGACCAGTCCTCGACTTCGTGGCCCATCGCGTCCTCTGGTTGGTGTGGGTCCCATACGTGGGCGTGAGCGTTGAGGTCTCCTGCGATGACGCATCTCGGAGGGAGGGAGAGGCGGGCAGGCTGGAACGGTTGGGCTTGGGTGCCTTGTCCTGCCACCCACCTTGCTGGAGGTGAGTACAGGTTGAACACGGTTATAGGCGGTGTTCCCTGCGGGTGGAGCTCTGTGGCCGTGATGTAGGTTTCTTCGTCTGGTTCAGTTGGCGCATACCGAGGCGTGGTCCGCGAGTACGGTAGTTGGTCCCGCACTAGGGTCATGACTCCTCCCTTACCCTTCACGCCGCGGGTCCCGTCGCTGCCGGTCGGGGGCTGGGGCTGGGTGGCCGCCTGCCCGGTCCCGCTCGCTGGTGGGGCGCGTGCCGTACACTTCTTACGGCTCTTGCAGCCCGCGCACCAGGAGTTACGGTCCGACGGGCCGCGGCGCTTGCAGGTCCAGCTCGGTCCAGGCGGTGCTCCCTGCCCGCTGTCGGCGGAGCGGGCTGCTCCGGTGGTTGTCGGGCTCGGGTTTGCCTGGTATGGCCTGTCTTGCCTCGCTGCTATGTTGTAGCCTGGGAAGCGTGGGTTTTCATCGCTTTCCAGGAGTCTGGTTTCTTGGAGTAGGATGACGTCGGGTTTCTCGTCTTCAATTCTCTTGTCCAGTTCGGTTTTCCTGGCCTTCAGACTGTTGCAGTTGAACTGCAGGATCTTGAGGAGGCCGCTGATGGCTGTGGGTCCTGTCCGGTTTGGGTTCCGCCCGGTGCGCGGGGTTCCCGGCGCCGGTCTCACAGCCCGCGGGGGAGCGGGCGGCGGCGGCACCGCGACAGGCGCAGGCGGGGCCGGCGGCGCTGACGGCGGCGTCCGAGGCGGCGGCGGCGGCGGCGGCGCGATGCAGCTCGGGCACCACCAGAGGTCGCGTGTGCGCGCGAGTCGGGAAATGTCCGTTGGCCTCAGTCCGGCGCATCGACCATGGTGCCAGAGGGCGCACCCGCCGCAGCGCACCGATGAGCCGCCGACTCCCCGGCCGCATACTCCGCACGGGTAGCGCGGAGGGGGTCCTGGATTCGACTCCACGTCCCCGGCCCGCATCAGTAGCAGGGCGAGGTGGGCCAGCCCTCGTCCCGCCGCCAAAAACCCGCCCGCGCCGGCCCGGCGAGGCAGGCGGTGGTCGTCGTCTTCCTCGAGGGTGTGGATGTGTGTCGGCGAACTTGGCTCCCGAGGGAGACGCCACCCCCACGTGAAGGGGTCGCCGATGGTGGCAAACTGTTAACGCCTACGCCTAACTGTTAACGCTCGTCGCCCCGCCCGCAGTACGGCGTGCTGGAGCGATGTCGGCAGCTGATAGAGGAAGGCTATGACGTCAACCAGCGAGACTCCATCGACGTCACGCTGCTCCACTGGGCGGCCATCAACAACCGGATGGCTCTGGCCTCCTACTACATCGGACTGGGCGCCGAGGTGGACGCGCGTGGCGGAGACCTCAGCTCGACGCCGCTCCACTGGGCCGTTAGGTAAGGCTAGTTTTATAATTTCTGGTTTGGAGGAGTAAGTGACTGTGGTCCCATTGCCGCGCTAAGGTAGAACCAGGAGAACTGTAGCGCATTCTATCTTCGATTTGTCTAACTTCAGGCGATGTATCACATCAAATTTAACGAACGGGTCGTTTACTGTATAGCCGGATGGTGGGCTCATGGTGAGGCCCGTGAGCACAACACATGTAACAAAAAAAGCAATTATGGGTAATGAACAGATGCACCTTTATTCTACCCATCAAAGCGGCATAAGCAAACTCACTATTGTTCACAATCGATAAGCGCTCAAGTGGCGTGGCTGCTCCCACTTGAGTTACAAATATTATGATCAGTTTCCCACCTCTATCGCAAACTGCATGATGCGTCATCCACCTCTCAAGACGGTATTCCTTGATAGGGGCCTCTATCTTACCTTTTGCTGATGCTCCGACGCCTAGGCGGGAGGCCAGTGCACCACAGTGGCGGCGGTAGCAGACCGCTCAAGTGCAGTGCTTACCACTCTGCGTGATACATCCATTTGGTCTTGAACGGAGCTACTGAGTGGGTGCCGGATATGTCGTAACACCATCGGAAAAATCTCCTGCTGCTGTCTCCATATTGTCACCCGTCCGAAACGAGCCCATCATGGCAGCAGAGGCAGGCACGGCCAGTACCGATGAAGACACACAATGGGTAAAGCGCGAGGCGCTGCCCAACGACGAGCTGCTCTCGATTCTGCGACGCCAGCTGCACGGTAGGAACGACAAGTACTCCAGTGCCGAATTCAAACAGCGGATCGCCGAAGATGCCATGATGAAACGAATCGGTGACTTCAAGGTCGGAGACAAAATCTTGCCCCGAACTGCTGATCTGAAAGCTGGACTGGTGACGGGCTTTGACTGCGCTCCAGGCTCGTGTCGACATCTGTCGTTCCCCATCTCATGGAGCGAGTGCCCTTGTCAGGACCTCGAGAGGCTGGTTATTCAGGGAATCCACCCATCGGGAAGTAAGCGGGAAGGTAACGACGTCAGGCTGAACGGTAGCGGTGATTGGTCTGATATTGACGTCATGCTACGGCTGGGACCAATCCAGATCCTGGGAGACGTGGACGCCTCACCGGCCCAGACTCAGTCTGGCATTTCGGCCAGGACAGAGCTGGATGTCGCCGACGGGAGGTCTGACGACATCGACACCGCTGTACTGGAGCCGACTGACCACCCCGGCTTTGTGCTGCTCTACCTGTGCCCCCGCGCCGACTGCCGCCACCGCGACTGGCTGCCTCTCTCCGGAAAGCACGTCAAAACGAACATCCAGGTTATGGGAAACATGGGCGCGGCGAAGGCCGACACACGGTCCTCGCTTATTGGTAGACTGATGAGCGGTGGTCCGGCGCTCAGCTGTCGGGACGGCGGCGCCGACGCTGACCTGGTGCCCTGTTTCAACCTTCCTCGGTGGCCGTATGAGGAGTTCCGCCGCCGGCCGCGGCCCCACGGCCAGCCGGCCCCTGCGCTGGTGGAGCGGCTCTGTCGCGCAGCGGCCATGCTGGTGGCGGTCGGATTCGAGGGTAGTTTTGCCCAGAACGACCAATGGAGGCTGTCCTTCTCCCGACACGAGTACATGCTGCTGCAGTCACTGACGAAGCTCCAGCGCGACTGTCTCGTCGTGCTCAAATACTGCTGCGCCGTGCTCTTCGGACCGCATGGTGCCATCAAGGGCGCCTACCTGAAGACAGCTCTTCTTTGGGAGTGCGAGGAAACAAGTGTATCGACGTGGGAAAAGGAAGGTCTTCGGAAAATGATGAAGAAAGTTCTGGCTCGTCTTCAAGAGTACGCCCGTCGTGGGTGCTTGCCGTGCTATTTCTGGTCCAAGATCAACATGCTGGCCGTACAGAGGACGACCTATTGGAGCTTCAGCGTGCCCTCTCATGTCTGCAGACCCATCTGTGTACGGCAGCTGCCGCCGTCGTGGCCGCCTTTGCAAAGTACGGTGATAGCGCAGTGAGTGACCCCCGCCTCCCGTCGAAGAGCCCTCGCGAGTACTGGGAGTTCGTGTTGCGCCGGGATCAGCAGACATGCTCGCCGCTTGAGAATACCTGGCTGACGTACATCAACTTCTGCGGACTGCTTGGTAAGCGGAAGTCAGCTATGGAGCGCACGTATCAGAGAGTACTGAAGGAGATCACGGACGGCAGAGCGAAGCGCAAGAGCAATGGCGGCAGCCAGTTCAAAGACGACTGGCTAGAAGAGGACTGAGAAGCGCATTTCCTTGCGCCGACCAGGGACAAATGACCGGAAGGACTGAGGATTGAGGAGCATGTCTTTCACGACGATGAACTTGAAAAGGCACTCAAGGGCACTTCCCGGGCACTTCACATCGGCATGTGGGAGCAGACAATAAAGTAGTGAAGGCAGTCACGTAACTATGTAGTGCCTTAGCTAGAATTAAGTAGTGAAGCCATTTATGTAGTACCTTTGCTACCTTAGTATAAGAAAATAGCTGGGTGTTCCATTAGTGTTGCCATACAAGATGATTCCGTGGGTTCCTTGTGGATTTTGCCATATTTTCGGCGCGTTCGTCAATTCTTCAAGGAAATCGCGAGCAATGTAGCCCGCGATAATTCGAGCTTGAGCAAACACACCGTTTCCGTGTCCTGATGAATATATAAGCTGAAAATGGAAATAGTTATAAGATAGAAATGATGGCTACTGGTTAGGATAGTATGGCTAGATAGATTAGTTACGATCTTTGCTGATTTTCATATATATAACCCTATTTAGACGATGCTTGTCTAAATATACGAAATGAAAATGAGCTGATTTTTTCTTTTCAATGAACACCAAACTTCAAGTTTATATGCAGATGTCGATCTTTCCTCCTGCTGAAATGCCTGCCACTGAACTTAAATCACGTTTTCGCAATCGACCATCTGAACCTCACTGCTTCGCCTGTTCTCGACACGTGGTTGCTTGTACTTACCCTCCCGATTGGGTGTAGTTTCCGATATATTGGGTCGAAATTACTCCACTGTTGACATCCTCATCGACGTACGACCGACTGATTTCATTTGTTGAATGATTTTGTACCGGACTGTACCATACCATACCAAACGGACTGCCCACCTCTACCCGAGCTTTTCATCCGTAACTTACTCTGGCCCTTCTCCATTCGCATGCCACCACTCCTGTCCGTTCTCTTAGATATGTTTATGTGAAAATGGTAGCAGAAATTAGATTCGAGCTTGACGCAGTTTATCATGTTTGTTTCCCTCTGGTGGTGCTAAGGGAACCAGCGTAACCCCGTCATTCCGCTAACCAATAACGTACTCCTGCCAACAGACAGGGCCACCTGAGCATGGTGGTGCTCCTGACGCGCCACCGCGCCGACCCGCTGATACGTGACGTCGAGGGGTTCGCCTGTATCCACGTGGCGGCGCAGTGTGGCTTCACCAACATTGTGGCGTACCTGCTAGCGTCGGCCGGCGGCGCGGGCGTCAACGCTCCGGACGATAGCGGCATGACTCCGCTCATGTGGAGCGCCTACAAAACCAACGGGTCAGTGGGGCGACTCGCCTTCCGGTGGGAGGGGAGGGGAGGGTGGTTGTGTCAATAGTGGTCGTGGGGTGGGCGCGATGTGTGTTGGGGGGGGGGGGGTAATACTTCGACCGATGGATCGCGGTGAGGTATTGTGACATGTCATGGCCGGGTTTCTGTAGCGCGGGCTAGGCCAGCGTCTGTGGTAGTGATCAAACGATCGATGAACGTAACTCGTTCGGCGCCTGTGTTGCCGCCTGGTGCTGACTGGTGCCCAACTCTCCAGGATGGATCCGACGCGTCTGTTGGTGACGTTCGGTGCCAGCACGTGCCTGCAGGACCAGCTGTACGGAAACACGGCACTGCACTGGGCTGTCACGGCGCGTAACGTGACCGCCGTACAGACGCTGCTACGGGCAGGCGCAGACACCAACGTCACTAACAAACAGGTGAGCCATACCTAGCGGACACAAATATCTCATACAAACAGGTCAGACATTAACGGATACAAAAGTCACAAATAAACGGACAGGCCAGCTTTATAACGGATACAAACGTCATGATACGAACACAAACGTCATGAAGAAACAGGCCAGTCATATCGGACATAAACATTAAACGAACCGTCTTTGACCGATTTGCGCCCTCTGCCGCCAGGGTGAGACACCGTATGACCTGGCCAAGCGACACAAGGTCTCCTGGATGGGCAACCGATGGCTGACGGAGCTGGAGCCTCCGGGCCGCGTGCGCCGCAACCCGTGTTCCCGGCTGGTCAACAATCCGGTAAGATACTTGCGGTGGGAAGTGGGCTGCGGATACTGCTGGGAAAGAGGAGGCGTGTGCAATGGAGTTTGATTACGGGACGGATGATGCTGAGAGGGATTGGGGCAATGCCAGTACAGGTGGCGTCTGCAGTGGAAGATCAGGCGTGGTGACCGCGACCTGGGGCGGCGCAATACTGGGACCGGATATCACCATTTCGAGAATGAAAAGTCACTGACAATTAGACTCACTTTTGTGCCGACTCTGCACTGTGTCGTGCCGTGTCGTACTGTACACGTACTGTGTGGTACTGTACCGCACCGTATCATTGCCCCGAGGACGGTGTTGATGTGTGCTCCTATGTCCCCTAGAAGGTCCAGTAGTGGTCCGAGATGCTGCCTATTGACGGTATTGCTGTGGCCTACAGAGAGTTGAGTTCTGGTCCGAGATGCTGCCTATTGACTATATTGGCGTGCTTCTGTGCCTCACAGAGAGTCCAGTACTGGTCCGAGATGCTGCATGTTGACAGCGTTTTGCTCCTGTGCCCCACAGAGAGTGCAGTACTGGTCCGAGATGCTGCCTATCGACTATATTGGCGTGCTTCTGTGCCCACAGAAGGTGCAGTACTGGTCTGAGATGCTGCTGCCGCTGGCGGTCTACTACGCCGTCGGACAGATTTTCGCTCTAGACGTGGACGTACTGGTGAAGCTGGGGCTGCTCGTCGGCGTCTACATCCTCTGCCACTTCCTCGGCAGAGCGCTGTTCCAGAAGGACTTTATGGAAACCCTACCCATGGCCATATACCTGGCTACGAAGGTTAGAACCTGGGAGCTGAACAGACCTCGGTATTGACAGTGCTGCAAATAAGAAAGATGCTTTTTATGGTATTTGAGTTATCAGACTTCTATGTTTCATGCTCTGAAATCCGCTTGAGCACAGTAATTTACTTGAATATGATTAGTGCTTGATAACCTACGGTTGTCACTTTAACTGGTGATTTCAGTTTCTCCCCCCCCCCCCCCGGTCCTCCAATACTGATATTGGCTGATGCCCTCTGGTTCTCCGGCCATCACTGAGACTCGCGCCCCTCTTTGTTCCGTTCTACCAGCCCTTACTGACTGGCGCCCGCCTGCCATAAATCACCCTTATTGGTATCTCTTCTCCTGACCCGCCGGCTCCTTCTGTCTCGCGCCCTCCCGTCTGGTACCCTCCGGCACTCCTGGTACTCTTACTTTTCTCTCACACTGGTCCCCTCTCTCGGTCTCCCTCAGATATGGTTCTACGTGACGTGGGTGGTGTGGCTGCAGCCATACGTGGGGCCGGCCACCACACTCCTGTTCCTGGCCTGCTCGGGCCTCCTGTGGTGGGCGTTCATACGCTGCTGGCGCGGCGACCCGGGCCTCATGACATCCACCCTCGAGGACAAGTGCAAGGTAGGTCCCGGGAGAGGTGAACCCTCTCGCTCCATAGGTACTGTGTGCTCGCCGCTTGATGGCGCTGGGTGGGCTTCACAATACATCGGTAATGGTTAGCATGTATCTGAATTGCTCACTTCCCTGACTCAGCTGGCGAACGCTGTCCCGTCTATCATACTTGCTGCGATTTGAGTATGAAGCTGCCTGAGGAAGCTGATTAGGTTGACGAAAGCTACCTGCTGACCACTGTTGGTCTGTGTGTCCGTCAAATAGACGACTGTATTTTTTAGAGAGAGACTGCTGCTGCTGCTGACAATGTTTGTCTGTTCGTTTGTGTTCGTCAGACGATCGTCTCGCTCTCGGAGACGGAGGGTTTCAACATGGCGCAGTTCTGCAGCACCTGCCTGATCCGACGGCCGGTCCGCTCCAAACACTGCTCTGTCTGTAACCGCTGCGTGGCCAAGTTCGACCACCACTGTCCCTGGGTTAACAACTGCGTCGGTAAGAGTCGCAACACTGACCTTTGGTCATAACCGTCTGTGAGAGCCGCAATAGTGTCCATGGGTCAATTACTGCGTCGTTATGGCTTAAATACTGGACTTACCAAATATTTACAGCTCCCGAGTCATTTGTGCAATGAACATGGGCTTATCCAATTTCCACTGTCACTCGAATTCGAGACAGCATCTGCTGATTTCTGCCGTTGTTATATAATTTTATAATGTCTCAGGAAGTATGCGCCAAACGTTAAGTAATTCTCTTATTTTGCCTGTGACCATTTCCGTTTCTCCCCGTGACAATGAACGTATTGTGTTTCCAGGTGCGGGTAACCACAAACACTTTGTGTACTACCTGCTGTTCCTGGCTGGCATGTGCGTGTTCTTCCTGTACGGCTGCGGCGTGTACTACCAGCGAGCCTGCGCAGTGTCGTTCTACGACCAGGGCCTCTGGGACGGTAGGTTTTTAGACCCGTGAGCTGGGAGAATAACTGACTTGATATTGGTTGGCGTATGTGTGTGTGTGTGTGTTTGTGGGGGGGGGGGGGGTCGTCTATTTGAAAGGCTGAGGAATGAGTTGCAGGCCCAGCGTCTGATTCGAAAAACGCGTCTTAAAACTAGTTGAGGGTTAGCTCAATGAAAGGTTACGTGTATATGGCCAGACAAAAGTGTGTGCTCTGGCCAATGGGGGCTGAAGACGTAGACTGATTGCTCCAAGTAAACGTCACCGTCTCGGGACGCTCATCTATAAACCTTCGTTTTTTCCTGCCTGCGCATTACGCTAGGACACTGCATACAGCGCCCGGAGGATGACAGTGCATTCTGATCACCTCTGTGGTCCGTTTTACAGCGCTGGCGACGATGGCCACCTGCGAGACGTGGGTGTTCTGGAACGCCCTGAACGCCACCGTCCACACCATGTGGGTATCGGCGCTGTTCTGCTGCCAGATGTACCAGGTGAGAGACACGGCCTCCCTCTCCGGCATGGTCCGCTCATTTTGTGGGAGTGACCCTGCCCAATCGAGACACGGATTCCCTCATCGGCTATAACCTCGTCCAGTCCCTAAACTGTGAAAGGGACCCTAACCACGAGGATGCGCGCATGTAGTCCTGAGCCAGACTGGCATCCCCACGATCATGTCTATCGGCACGTTAGGAGACCCCGTTGCCGTCGCGCCCTAAAACCCAAACAAGTAGATATTTCCGGATGTTGTTTCACACGTAGGGCTGGACGACGTGTGGTCATTGGATAAGAGTGAACGATTGAGAGTGAGACACACGGATATGGAACGTTTTATTATGATTTGATGTGTAATGCTATGGATTGTATGGGCGCCTGCTGGTTGGCCTTACGAAACGCGGGCGCTGTATATATGAAATGCCCTTTAAAAAATTGACCCGGTCTTGACTGAACTCAGCCGGTTGAATTCAGTTACATTTGGTCCTGTTTACTGTGGGACCGTGTGGGGAGGGCGGTTTTTACAGGCTCGTCAGGGTGACACAGTCTCGCACGGTAAACTTTACTGAGTGACCTCAGCTGCCACCGTGTGCTGAGCGATGACGCGCCAAGGACGCTAGATCTGCCGCCGACCGGGCAAAATGCGAATTCTGGAGCGCAGCGCCGGGCGAATGGTGACTTATCTACAAAAGGAGGCGTCCTCCAGCTCCCATTTCTCTAGCTTCGAGTCGTTTTAGATCAAGTCATCATAAACACACACTTAGATAAACATAGCTGCTTGAAGTGGCGCAGTAGCGTGGGCATGAGTCATATACCAGTCAAATGGCGATAGTCACGCGATAAAGACAGTCATGCTCAGTTTCAGAATCTGACTGTGTGGCTTCTGAAGAAATACTGGGTCTGTGATAGCCCACCATCTGCCCCCGCTCCCTGGTCATCCAGCCTCGCCTGTGATGTCTGAAGTCTGGGCGCCCTAAATCACAGCCAGCCAGTCACTGGTGGCTCACTCACGTGTCACAGACGGACCTGTGTTTATTTTGACCGTATTGACCCCGCCCTGTGGCGCTACACGACGTATTATGCCGTCCTTGCGACATCAACGTGGTCCTATCGGGGCTCGTGACTAGCTCTTCTGGGCGGTGTTATGAACGAAGGTACCCTTTCTGCAGTTGAGTCGGGCTATATGCATGCTTGAAAGACACATGTGACTTCTGTAATAGTTGTATAATCTTTTTCTTGAGATGTCCGTAACCCTTCCCACAGGTTCTCTGGCTAATTGTGCTCGCCTCTTCCCGCAGGTTTCCTGGCTGGCGATGACCACCAACGAACGGATCAACGCCGGCCGCTACAAGCACTTCTCCGACCCCGACTCCTGTGAGCGGCGCTCGCCGTTCGACCGCGGACCCATCCAGAACGCCGTCGACTTCTTCGGCTTCCGGTGTCTGGGCGCGTGCAAGCCGAGCTGCACAGACTGGCGCTCCGTCTATCGGCTCGACGAGGCGATGCCCAGTAAACGCGGCGGTGTAACCCAGGCTTGAGCCGACTGGGCTGAGGGAGCGACTCCGACTGCTGACAGCGGAGCGGGCATGGTCAGACGCCGGCGCCGCGGCAGCGGGTCGGGCGCTGACCGTGATGTGCGCCCCACCGGGACAGCAGTGGGCGGGCAGTGATTTCTGCTCTCGGCCAGGAGCAGACGTGTTGGGGTGCTTAGTGTACTTCCTGAGCTGGCAGAATTAGTGTCAACTACTCCTAATCTACCGATAGTTCTGCTCTCCCTGCTCCTCTCCCTCAGCCCTTAACGCTTAGACGGCGATTCCCATACTTTTCCTAGCTTTGGTGCATCATTTCCCTCGGTTTGCCGCCTCTCCATCCGTGCTCGCTAGCCTTAAGTGCTCTACTCAGCCCTCAGCAACCGTTACCGACTGGCAGTGGGCGGGGCCCAGTGGTGTCGTAGATCTCAAACCATCAGGTAGGTTACAAGGCGGTGCGACTAGGTAGTAGTCACAGTCCCAGTCTCTGTCCTACGGCTAGTGGGCCGCCGCGGTGAATTCGGGGTCGAATCGGCCACCTTATCTCGATCCTGCTAGTGTGTGCTATAGCTGAACAGTGCTCAGTACCGGCTCATAGGGTATTCCGTAAGTATTGGAACACGTTTGTACCGATTAAAGCGTGTACGGATGTTCTTTCTTCTTTGATTCGCGAGTAAGTGTAGCGGTTGTTCCATTCCACACACCGGCAAACATGGGTAATTGCGCATATTTCCTGTGCATGCTGAACCACCTAGAAAACCGCAGTTAAATCTGTTCCGCTAAACGTAGCTGGCAAGGAAGGCCGTATGCTTGAAAACCTGTGCTAAAGAGCTTGTTGGACACTATTTATAGCCGAATCATGCATAATTACATAGTGGTGTGTGGATGGAAATTGATGACATCGAGTCTGCATTTGTGGAAGCGCGCGTCGTTTTGTGGAGCACGCGGCTTGATGCCTAATAATAGTCCAGTCAGGTCCTGCGTCGATGTCACTATGTACTCAGTCACGATCGCGCACGCTATTTCGTCATAACGTCCGTCTCATTGTCCATTGCGCACATTATTGTTTACCATCATGTTGTTTGTGTTGGCTTCCGTGAGCGCACATCTTGTGTGTATGTCTGTGGTAATGTGCATCGCCTTCATTGTCCGCTTGTCCGTGTGTGCAGTGTGACGGTTCGGTCCGTGGATGGACGGAGCTGTGCAATGAGTCAGGTCTGTCGACCGACTGCGCATGAGCGGATAGTCCTCAACTGACAACCGCATGATGAACTGTTGTCGGTAGTTAGTCGGTGGACTGTCGGCTGGGCGTAGCTGGTCTCGCGTTATTTGCCGTCACTTTGTGGCCGCGAGCTACCAGCTAAAGACTCACAGAGGATCATTCCAGAGTGTCGGCGATGTGAAGCAATAGGCCGATGGCGCGTGTCGTGTGAGGTGCCCGCGGGGAGCGTCTGTTTGGGTCAGTGTGTGTATGTGCGTGCTGTGAGCGCGCCTGGCGCCCAGGAGCGCGGTTCTAGTCGCTGGAGGAGCGGTCGGCCAGTGGGCGGTCAGCTCCGCGCAGTTATACCGGGTGAAGGCCCCGCCGGCCCGGCATATCTTCGAAAATATACGTATACGCGCCTACTCCAGCGTTTTGGAACGTATTAAGTTTCTGAGGCAAGGCTGTTGTGAATGACAGGAGGAGACTGAAGATGGCTGAGGCTTTAGCGACCAATATTCCTTTTTTTTGCGACTGACTGGCAGCGACTGTCAGGCGATGACTGTGAGTTTGGTGTTGACCGGTGAGCCTGTCGAGTGATGGCGGCGATTGTTTACAAACCCCGAGTCCAGATGGTCAGAGCAGCGACTGGGGCATTCATCAGTTCACTAGTCCCGACAGGCACCATGACGGCAGAATAAGACAGGCACGGCATGCGAATGGTTATTCAGATACGCTTCACCGCCCACCTGGGATCGAACAACCTGCAGCGTTTCAACTCGCTTATTTTCATAGTTGCGTACCACTGATGAGTAAGCGCTTCACAATCAACACCAAAACAGCTTCAACAACACAAGTGTGACCTCTGCGTCAGGGTCATAGCTGTGGCCACAAGTGTTGCCGTCCGTAGCGGCGGAGTGTGTGAGCGCCGCAAGAGCGCCAGACCGCAGTACCTTTGACTCAAACGTACTACCCCTATACGAGCTATTGCTTCTAGTGTTGTACTCTTTACACCCTGCACGCAAAGCTCATCGTTGGCTCCCATAGGAGTCCGGATAAAGACCAGTCGGCGACGCCAGGAGTGACATGATCTAAAGCCCTTACGACGCGTCAGCTTTCCGTAACCAACATAGTTCCCACGATTTATCCTGTCCGTGGTACCCACAACCCCACGACACTTTCCATGGTTCGTACCTGTGTCTGTTACGCGTCGGTCGTGTATTCCTGTCGACACTGAACGGGCCTATGGCACCCGTCGGTGACCCTCTCGACGGGCGGCAATCGATACGGCACAGACGGCACGGTCGGCAGCCGCCTGCCCAGTGCCCGGCACCGGCGCACAGGTGGGCGGCCACCCGGCCACGGTATTTTCATTGCCGGGTGGGGCGCACTGCCTGGACGAGGTAACACTCGCGAGTCTCGAGCTGTATACAGCAGGTTAAAATGACATCCTAGTGCCTCGGCTCGAATGTAACAGTGGCGACGACCGTTTCATACGTTAACATCACTTTGGAATGTGAAAACATGGCATAGCAACAGCCCGTCTAAGAGTCATCATGGGTGAAGGTTCGAGCACTCGCACTAGATGTAACCGATGGCGTCAGTCAGTAAGGCGGTGGTGTGGAGCAGAAACAACTCGAAACGTGGTGCCTGTCTTTGTTTGTGTGGCGGGCCAAGGCCACACGGGCATCTACCGTTCGGCGTTTGTACTCCATTCAGGCGATAGGTCCGCCCTGCGATGGCGCATTCATGCGATGGTATCGAGCCGTGTCGATCCTACATTTCCGGCCGCCCGATCGTCTGACCCTGTCCGTCCGGCGTGGCGACAAGGAGACCATGCGACCCAACGGCACATCCACCGACACTCAATGGTTCGTTCCATAGTACATAATATATTTGCAGAAACTGCCTGCGAGCGGTGCTCAGCTGATTAATATCTGCCCTAGGGCCGCCACCATATCACGTGACCTGTGCCGCGGCGCCGCAGCCGGCGCGGCCAGCGGTCACGTGTTCACTCATGCACACACAGCGGCGGCCTGCCCCAAACGAACAATGTAAGAAACGCAAACGGAACAGCAACGGGGCAGGCTGGGCCAGCAGACAGCCGGGGCGCATAGACGGGCGCGCAATAAAACGAGACGGCATCCGGCTGGGCCGGGCCGTATCAGAGGAAACTGGCACCACTGCCGACACCAGAGAGGCGGCACCACTCACGGCACCAGAGACAGCACCACTGGCATCACCACTGGCGCCCACAGCACACGGACCGCGCACCACTGCGCGGCCGCCACACGCCGCGCGAGCGGAGCCGGTCGCCGCCCGCACTCGGGCTATTCGATGATCGCTCTCGGGTCTGAGAGGGGCGACTCAGTCGGTCTTCTTGTCGCCGGACGGCTGGTCGGGCCGCGGGCTGTCGGCCGTGCCGGACGCCTCCTCGTCGTCTGTGTATTCAGAGGGCCTCTCTCCCGGCTTCAGCAGCTTACCGACGTATACGTAACGATCTGTGGGAGAAAGACACGGCGGTGAGAGAACACACCACACATTCCAAGTGACGTGAGGGGGGTCGAGAGATCCTAGGGCGATTAAATAACTTTCCATACATAGGGAGGAGACGGAGTTCAAGAGATGAGCAGCGAAAATGTGAATAATCCAGTAGTTAATAGATGAGAAGACTAAGGACGACAGTCACAAACACTGACGAAGCCCTCATCCCTCCCATTCACAAAGAAGAACCGTCGCGGCCGCACATATGCGGCAGCCCGCGAGCAGGAAGTGCATACAAAGCAAACACGCAGATAGCTGACTGGCCGCGGATGTTAGGCACCCCAAACACTTGTCAAGCGAACTTCGAACGATGTGCGTGCACCAAACGGGGTCAGAGTACACTAGCAGGGAGTATTTCGGGAATCTCATAAACAAACAGCGTCCCACAAAGAACGATTCGCTGACAGACCCAGGCCCAGTAAACATCGAGGTTCCTTGTGCATCGATTGAATAATTTTCAGCATATGATCGACATCAGGCTTCTTTGAAGGCGGATATGGGAGGGAGAAGAAAAAGGAGAGCGATCAGGATCCATTTCTATAACGATACATGTCGGTGAAAACCATAGCCAAGATGAATGAAAGTGTCATTCATGACTTCCGTCAATAAACAGTCCCCCATACCATCCAAGTAAAATTAACATATGCAGAGCATTCAGGCTGCGGGGGCACGTCAATGACGGTGTTGAAAGGTCAACACATCCCTCCCAGCATCTGTTTGTTTTCCATGACAGCGTAGCACGTCTGGTGTGCCCAGTCCGTGTGCCCGCGGGCCGGCTCAGCGCCCACATCAACAGAGGCATCCCCGCCCCCGGGGCCACACCGCTCTGTGGGCCGGGTCGACCTCTGACCCGGGTCCGGGGAGGGGGGGGGGGCGGATCAGTATTTACGACCGGTTGGTAGGTGTGGAGATTGGGCACACAGCCGCCAAACCCTCGACGGCTTCGTGACCGTGTGCGAAGTAAATACAAAACGAACTTTTAAACAGTGAACTGCAAGCAACATCCACATTCGGCCAACATCTTAACTCCTCGTTTCCTTTAGAGACTAGAAGGGATAAACTGTTCAATTTCTCCCCCATTCGCCGCTCTTCCCACTGGTTTCTGAGTTAAGCCAATCACGACCTAACTAACCAGCCCAGCCCGGCACGAAGGTCGGTCACTGCACTGGCAGCGCTATCTCTGTAGCAGCGGGGTTCAACGAGAGCAAAGCGGCCCGGCTCGTGATCAACACGGGCCAGTCGGGACTCGGCGAGTTGCCAGAGACGCCGCCAGCCCAGGACCAGTGCCGCTGGGGTCCCTGTTTGCCCGACCAGCAACCGCCCGGTTAGGCTCCATAGACTGCATCGTCCGGTAAAGCTATCTACACCAGATTGTTCAACGTAGATATCAGCGATCAACTGGCCTGCTATTGACGAGCCGGGCTGACTGTTGACCCGAGCGACCCCCAGTCGTCAAGAGCTGGCTCCGAAGATAGGCTGGCGCCGCCCCGCCCCGACCGCCGGCTTTTGTTACTGAATGAGATCACGGAGACCCAAAAGGTCGGCCCTTTCCGCCGCCGCCGTCCAATTCCAGACTGAGCTACAGCGCGCAGGTGTCTGTGCAGCTTTCTGCCAGGTTGGCCCCGAATTCCGGAACGGGGTGAGTTCAGGTCTGCTGCAGACATTTTTACAAGCATACCTAAGTGGTGCAGACCGCCACTGCAGTGCAATGTGCAGGAGTGATAAGGAACAATCTATAAATGGCACGCTATACCAGCATAGTTTCGCAACTAGCACATGGGATGCATTGCTTTCAATGAAACGGAATCGCAGCCTGGATGGACATTCTTTGCAATTTCTATTCGGAGACTCGAGACATTTATTCAGTCGCCGGATAAAGATACCAGCGCTTCCTGGCTGACTACGGCAGTTGATGCCCATTGGAACTCCAAGTGTCATGGCCTATCGTCATGGCCGTCTTTCGTCTTCCCACCCTATTGTGACCCAGCTCGCGGGACAGGCGCCGTCGGACCGTGTGGCGTGTGCCACTGCATGTGTTGGCCCGCCGGCCTTCACAGCTGCAGCGCCGAAAGCCGAGTGGTCGGCTAGGCCGGCTGGGCGACAGGCAACAAAAACTGGCGGCCACGGCCCACGGACGCCGCCGGTGACGGCAACACAGCCCGAATAGGAAAGCTGTCCGAGCTTCGACAGTCGACACGCTAAGGAGCTGCTGTTTTGGCCCGGCGCTGGACTGGGGCTTATATTTGCATCACTAGCCACTTGATGCCACACCGATCGGGAACAGCCATACAATGGGCCGCAGTTCATACCATTCCTCTCGCTCCCGTCATATAACTGACGATGATTGAAAAGGCCGTGGCTGCCAGTTAAGGCTACGCCGTACCAAACACGGCCTAGCGCGGCCCTGTCCGCCGCCATAGACCCGCCACGGCCGGCACAGACGCAGAGATTACAGAGGTTCTGAGCGTGGTAGACGAGGGCGGGGCGATGGGTAAACAAGGAGAGGGGCTCGACCCTTGATCGGGACAGACAAGAGGCGCTAATAATCAGTAGAGTGCAAACACGAGATCGTCGTCCCTCGAGAAGACCGAATACAGCGCGGCGACACCGACAGCGATATCGGCATTATCGGCGACGGCGGGATTAGCCGGCGAGCGACTTCTGATGCTCGATCAGTACTTGTTCAGCGTGATTCGCATGATTTAGGGAGCATATGATACAAAAATAAGTCCCTTTAACAAGCTCAAGCAACGGATTTTCAGGTGCGATCCATTTCCGATGAGGGTAGGCCTTACAAACGTCGGAAGCCTGTACCATACCAACCGCCGAATGTCGAAAACGCTGGAGCTGCGGGGTATCGATCCCCGTACCTCTCACATGCTAAGCGAGCGCTCTACCACTTGAGCTACAGCCCCTATGATGGTGAGAGCGACGGACCTTCTAGGAGATTGGAGATGACGTCACAGTCACGAATCTCTAAAAAAACATAACGAATTGGGCAACAAATCATAACAGCTTGCGAGCGGTCGTCGGCTCCCTGCGATCACGATACTAGATAACTAGCCGGTTGCTCGTCCTGACTAGCCCAAATAAAAGGCGAACAAACAGGCCAACGGAGTCACGGACTATGAACGGTTCAGATGTTCAGATTCCAAACTAAGGAATCCACTGAAGCTGTTACCGGTCAGGCAGCGTCGGACCGGTAACAGCGGCGAACTCACCAGTGAACTGGGCCTCCCACTCGCGCACCGACTCCATCTGCATCGGCGTCAGGTCGCTGAGGTCGTCGAAGCGGTCGTCGACGCCCTCCACCGAGAAGGTGGCCAGGCCGCGGGATGCGTCTTTGCCGGCAAACGCCGCGTATGGCCCGCCTGTCGAAAACGAACACACAGAAGCGTTAGGTAGGTCAGGCTGAGGCCAGGTCATGAGAGGTCAGTTGGTTGGTTCAAAAATACAATGGTCAGCTGGGTACGTAGTTACTAGAATGTTGTTAGTGCTGGCACAGGACATGTTTACAGGTGGAACACATTTGCATTCAACACTTGCAGCCAGAATGGCGGTTACCCGAAGCACTGCTGGGTGGTAAGCATTAATTACCTACCGATGAAACGTCTACGGTTATCTGCATGAAAACATCGCAATATTATGGAAAACAAAGCGAGTACCTAACGCTGCAACAGTAGAGAACAGAATGACACAGCAGTCTGCAATAACCCTGAAAAGTGAAAACGCTCGTATTTTATGCAGACCACGCTAAATGATAACAGCACAAACATTGCACTGCAATACTAAATCGCAAGTACTGCAAGGATAGTGAGTACCGTTTACCAAGGTTTTACCAGCCACTTGAAAACAGGCAGTCTGTGCAACATGTGACAGCAAGATAATCGTGTGAAAGCCCAGTTATCACGCTTCAGGAGTTCACCGCCGGGCCTGGGGGGGGGGGAGGATAGGCGCTGCCACAGTCCGGCGGGTCGTTCGGCGAATGGGGAGGGGTCAGGCAGGCGGCACGGAATTGGCACGGTGCCAGCGCAGTCTGCTCCAAGGTCACGGCCGGCGGAACAGGCCACAGCAGCCGGGGCGCCATCGGGGAGCGGCGACCGCCATCGGGCCGTCATGGTCCACCGACAGCTAGCCAGTGCCTTTAAATCCATATATCCGTCGGTCGGTCGACGGTCCCCAGTCGGTCAGTCAGTTTGTCCGTCATCCAGCCAATATCAGGTCCCACCGTCAGCCCACACCAATTTCCACACTGCCCGATCAGGCCATTCGGACGACAGAAGCACGATGATAAAACGACGGCGGACTTGAAGCGGCTCTTACGATCTACCGGTCCTTTCAATCCAATGGAACCCAGTTGACTAGATTAGCGCACTGCCCACTATCCTCGCGACAACAAGCAACACGTGTAAGTTGTAAACCATATGTCGAACTCGAAACTGCCCCGTTATCGAGTGAAAAAAGCCGATTTCTGTGGTAATCTCGGTATAGTTCGATCTATACCCAATCCGAAAGGTTAAATCGGACTCTTCAATGAACCGGGGCAGAGTGGTGCATCTCCAGCACCGTGAGCTGCAGCGTTTCTCTGCCTGTGGTCGCCTCTGTTCCTCTGACAACTCAGACACAGGGACGGACTCCGCACACAGACACCCACCTGTGTGGCCTCCCGTCCCCTCCCCACCCCCTGTCTAGCTCGGCCGACCACCGGCACAGCCGCGGTACCCTCCGAGACGCCACACGTGCCCTATTCATCCAACGGAAACATAGCCACTGGCTATGTTTCCGTTGGATGAATCTGTCGGACATCTGATGTGGACCTCATCTTGAAAACGTTTGGTCATACTACTTCAGAAATCACCTAACAAAACGGCGGTTAACCGGAAAAAAAAATTATCACAACTGTTAGAAAGCTGAGCGGATAGATAGCAAATACAACCGGGCCCGGCATGGACGGGAAAATGACGTACGCGTGGACATTGTGTGTGGTCTATGATCGCTATCGGGCGCACGGGTGCAACAAGCCGTGCCTGCGGCTCCTGTGTAGCGCTACCCCTGCGGTCCCTGTCCCTCCCCTCAGCCCCGTGCTTGGAGGTCGGCTCCGCGGCACCATACAAGGGGCGCCGGCAGCTCGGCATTGGTCGTCAGCCGTGCAGTGAGCAGGCGCATACCATGCATTCCAAAATAGGGAGCTTGCAACGCCGGTTTGCAACAACCCCCGATTATCAGCAACTTCATTCTCCCCCACACATACCTATTACGGAACCGTAACGATGCAACCTAGATAACCAAGGAGTAGAAAACAAAGTGTGTTTTTGAGACCTGGCACATGAGCTGAGCTAACCAAGGTTTCAGGATATTTTTCATATTCGGCCTATTCCCTATACAGTACCCCACAGTTTGGTAGCCATCGTGGATAGTTGCATGGTCGTCCTTTATGCAGCACTCACCGGGTCCGTAGAAGCGTTTTCCTCTGGTCACGTCGAACACCTTATAGTTGACGGCCACCAGGACGCGGCCGTCACACTGCTCCGTGCCGTCGTACACTTTGAGTTGTTCCAGCGTGAAGTCCTGACGTTTGAGCGGTGGCAGCTGCGGCTCGGCCGGCGGTGGCGGCGCGCGCTCCTCTCGCTGACGCACCCACAGCTTGTAGACGATGTAGAGGCAGGCGCAGATGAGCAGGATGTTGGCAGGACTCTGGAGCTCTGCGCAGAACGCCTCCCACAGGCCACCAGTCTCGGCCGCTGGTGCCGCTCCGGCTGGCTCCTCACCACCCTCTGCTGCCATGGCTGTTACTCAAAGGAGCCTGGCACTCTGACAGGCACAGAGCAAATGGCCAGGCTGCACTCTGAAATAAATGTCAATAGTAAGGTACCATCTTGACAGCACATATGCCTGAGATAATTTGTCAAATTAAAGTACAGGTAGGTAAGCTATCTCTAACGTCCAATGCAAATGTTAAGTGCTTCCAGGTGCCTTAGCTCCAGTGCTTCTTAGGTTTGTCAGACTATAGTTTTGGTGTAGCGAAAAAAGACCCTGAAGTCTGAATTTCAACTCAAATAATTGTAATCAATCAAAATGATCATATGATCAAGATAAAATCGCTGCGTAATTTCATACATTCAATTCCCATCCACTTGAGGTGTGAATGATGCATAATGCACAAATTATTGTCAGTAAATTGATAAATAATTTGGGATCAGCTAAACTCACCAAATTTTTCAGTTTCTTTCACTTTGCTACGCGCCAGGAATAGTCCTTCAGAGAAATCAAACAAGCAAATGCTCTATGATCGAACACGCAAACACCACTCGCAGCCCAAAATCAAGTGTTAATCCCCGATTTTTCCTTATTTACCCGACACCAGTTACCGCATCCCAACACTCCTCCCATCAAGAATCAAGAAGACACAAACCCCACAAGAAACAAAACTGTGACTGGAACACAACCTGAGTGTCAAAGGGACTTCGGTATAATAATTTCGGTAAACTTATGACATCAAAGGCTCAAAACAAGCACCATTCACGGTGCTGCCTAGCGCCAGACATTCAGATTCGCGTGGGAGTGAAGGAAATGAAAATAAGAAATTTCTCGCAAACTTTATTCGGAGTTGGTGTAAATAACAAATCATCGGTTGCTTATTTTGATTCTTTCAATTTTTTTGAATTTCTCGCTTTACAGTTTGTTCAAAGCTGAACGTTTTTATGACGTCAATGTATACCTCAACAAAGAACTGGGATTTAATTGGTAAAAATGTTGTAAGATGTGGCTAGTAAATTGTTTCTACCTATACCTACGTTTCTCCCGTATATAATTTGATACAAACCTTTGAGCTATGGCTTGTTATTTACTATTCACTTGAAAGAATCGGGCCTTATTATTTGTTTTGTGGTTTAACTTGTGTTAAAAACAACAAAGATTCTTGGAGATTATGTGTAGAGTCCCAACCACAAATGCAAGAATTTGGCATAAAAAGTCTCAATCAAACTTAATTCGCATTTCATCGTGCCGTTCTGCAAAAAAATCAGCGGAATTATAATAAAATGTATTGATTACAATTTCTGAAACAGACATGAATGGGCAGTATTTCTCTAGCTTGCTAATCTTTGTTTAATTTTGTATCTTACCGAGCGTCTAAAATTTAGTCGCTAATTCCTAAGGCATGGAGATGGTGCTTTTGTCTCAAATCACAGAAAGTGGGCGATGGTGGCGATGGTGTTGTGTGTCTGTGTGTTTTGCACTGTGTTTTGTGACTTTTGTGTTTTCTTATGTGATCTTGGCCGCTCAGACACGGGATAATCGCATAACTTGTGCATATTCTTATAAATGAAATAGTTGAGGTTGATTTCATAATTGAAGTAATACAGTTGGTGTGGTATTACATTATAAAACCTTGCAAGATCAAAGGCTGGGGACCGTGGCCTCAGCCTTGCAAGAAATCTGAACGTGTCGTTACAACAGTTGAAAGATTTTGGATAACTTTCAGAAGTAAATCTGATGAATGTTTCTTGAAAAGTAAGGCATGATCTATTGAAAAGCTTGAAGTTCTTGATGGCCCAGCTTTACAGATGAAATCTGAAGAAGTGTTTGCTGATAGATGATGCACACTATAATCTGGGCAACATTTGTCACTTAATCATAAACTTTTACATCTTAGCACATCATACTATATACACTTGCTAGTGGCATCAAGCTCAGAGTTGTAATTTTACAAGCAACTTTGTCATGGCTTCCAAAATGTCTTCAAATTCACCAAGTAATGGTGGAGCCAGTACGCACGGAGCTATTCCGAAGGATACACAGGCAGCGATGAGCAGTAATGATTCAGGACAAAATTATGAGCCTCCAGATATTGATCCTGTTACATTAAAGGTAAGTGGAATGCTGAATATTAATAATGCCTCAGCCTATGTTTATCAACAAGACCTTGGTACCTACATGTCACTTGTCAGGATGTTAATGGCTAAGGGTTAATGGCTATTTGGCTTATTTTCCAGTAGTTCCTTGCTTTTTTACTTGGTTTTTAGATGGTTTTCCCTAAAATATCAAATATGTTTGTGGTTGCAAGGGGTCTATGGTTTGCTTATAGTTGTGACTGACCACTTTGTGGCTGATGATCTGTAAACCTTGTGTGCACTCTTTGTTGCCATTCTCACTTCTCACCTTCAATGACTTCAGTGACTAAAATCTCCTTTACAGAGAAATCCTAAAATGGAGCTTAGCAAAGCTGATTTGCTCAAGCTGCTCAGCTGCCTAGAGGGAGAGCTACAAGCCCGTGATGTTGTGATAGCAACATTGAAGGTAAGGATCAGATATGTGATATGCTAGATTTCCTTGTTTTGTTCTAAATGTACCAGTGTGGTTCTGCATTGCATCATTAAATAGTTTTGCACATTTTTACAAATATTTTGAATTAAACACACTGATACACAAATACGATCAATGTTCTCGAAGTTGTTTCGGAAGACTTGTTGCCATTTTCAAATTACATTAGAATTTACTCAAGAGTACACACCCCTTATGGTTAGTGTGATGAGCCTATGAAATCTTAAAAGCATGTGGGATTCCTGAACTTCCCAATCCTATGGCCTTGGGGAGCTATAGGTCAAACATGCATCAGATGCATGTGGGCATAAATGCTCTTATTTTCCTTTTGAATATTAGCAAACAGTATGAGAACCATACAGGACCAAGTTCAGATGAGCAAGTATTGTCTCTTGACACCCAGTCCTGTGCTTACCACTCACCTGACTCACCTGAGTCCTGACATGATGGAATGCTTTGCCATTGCCTGCTATCATAAGTAACAGCATGCCTTTTTAACAATTACTTCTAGCATTGTCATCTCACTTGCCTTCACAGTTTTGCTAACTATTTGGAGATGAATCAGACCAAAATAAGGATGAATAAGGCTTTGAATATGCATTACTATAATTACTGGTTCATAGAGTGCGCTGAGAAGGTAGGTAATGGTCCCAGGTCTCAGGATCTGATTGACACACATAAAATCATCTTAATGGTGTGTTGGGTAATTTGGCAGCTTCGCCAGTGGCCTGAGTGAGCTGCCACTGAGATGTGGTACGAATGTGATCACCCAAGACCAGTCCAGTGGCCATAAGGGTGTAGTGCGCGCCCCGGATGTATCCCGACGATGAATGTTCTGGCTGGAGCGCATGTCTGGCTCTTGCCTGGCGCCAATGATATCACACTGGCAGGAAGAACGCTGTTAACGTCTTCCCCGGATCCACGGGAGATCAAAAGTCGAAATCTGTTGCGTTACATCACGACTTTTTTCGTTTAGAAGTGCTCGTTTCACTTGCAGCTCTTTCCTTAGTGTGTCTCATTTTGGCCAAGGCCTACCATAGGTTTTATGCTGAATGTAAAACGTGAAGTGTATCATAGTTAATGCGTTTTTCGATAGTACTTAGATGCATTACGTGATTGTTATCGTGCGTGCTCGTAAGTCGTAATCGATTACGCATGAAGTTTTGCCTCGATTCAGCTGTGATTTATAAGTTAATATCGAATGCCAACTTTTGACAGAAGTCTTACGGTGTGACACAAGGATTATCTGTTTCAGAATGAAAAGGTGAAGCACATGCTGTGTCAGGCTCGCTATGGGAAGCTCAGTCTGACAGATCCAGTGATGGCTCTTCAGAGGGACAGCACGCACGCCAAACATCAAATGGTAGGTGATGCACGCGACTGATCTAATTCGTCTGCATATACTTACAGTCGTAACTCTGAGGGTATGGTTAGCTCATATCCGTTTACTGTTAAAGGCATCATTCATCTTCATTTTAAGTTGTGCGCCTTAGGTAAAAACTGAATGTCTTTAATTATGTGCACGTCTGATAACTATTTCTGTCGTGCGTGCTTGCCCAGCGAAGTCTGATGTTTCCTTGCCCCCATTCACAGGTGGACGAGGCGTTGATACGTTCGATGGCCGACAATCAGATGGCGTCGCTGGAGAATCTAATCCTGGCACAACGGGCCGCTCAGCTGAAGATGGCTCAGTACCTCCGAGACGCCGAGGCGCGGCACGCCAAGGTAAGTCCTCAGCAGCAGCTGTGGTACCAATGAGACCTAATGGGCTACTATCTGGGATTTTACTTGCTCTTCTTTTTGTGAAAGATTGTTTGTATTTTTGGATAAGCTCCACAATTCTTTTTACACCAATCACCGCAATGTCGCTCGTCGTCGCTAGCTCCGACAGACTTGGCGTCAGTCCCATGGTTACCTGTCTATCCCGTCAGCTAACCGTCCCATCCCTACCCCAGGCCGTTCAGGAGCTGGAGGAAGAAAAGGCGAAGCACGCGCATGACACCGCCCAGGGTGATGACGTGACCTACGCCTTGGAGAAGGAGCGAACGCGCCTCAAACAAGAGCTAGAAACAGAACGGCAGGCCAAAAAGAAGGTACGTTTACATGGTGTTTGTTGGGGCTTCGTACTACGGTCTTTGTCTGCATCGCTATTTAAACCATACTGGAGGCGTTTGGTCATGTAGCTTAAACTGTGCTGTATGGAATAACACTATTCTGAAATATTATGAGCACTGAACCATCATCCGATGCTAAGAACGGGTCTCACTCTTTGTGCAGGTGGAGAAGGAGCTGAAGAAGACGGCCGAGACGCTGGAGGAGGAGCGGCATCGACAGAAGCACATGGTGCTCCTGCTCCTGGCTGAGAGGAAAAAGGTCATCACAAAGTACATCGAGGAGCGGAAACGGTCTGAGGATCTGACCCAGGTACTGTCGCTGGGGACCGGACAGATTCAGCTGTGACTGGAAACCGGGGAGCAATAATGCAGTTGAATTAGGCCCCTGAAACATCGCAACGTTAAGTGCAGTTTGTTGGGTGCTTAGTAATGTATGTCCAAAGGGCGCTAGCCCATGGGCACATACTCTCTGAGCTGTCGGTAAAACGGGAAACCGAGCTGGAACTCGGGATAATACTCCCACTGACCCGCTTGCGCCGGTGGGACGGCTATAGTGCCGACACCCTCCCCCTCCCGAGCGCCCCCACTGCCCCTGGCCGTGTACCCGTCACCACCAGTTAGTCGCAGCTCCAGACGGACACACATCCGTCTTCTCCGCTCGGCTGGGGGGGGGGGGCTGATGAGACGTGGAGGGGGAGGGGGGGGGGAGGCTGCGTCTGCCGTGCCTTCCAAGGTCGCGCCGCCCCGCCCCGTCCCCTCCGACCCGGTCGCCGGGTCCGCGCAGCCCCGGGCACTAGAGCGGTCACGTCGGTCCGGTGGTCAGAATGGACCAGAGAAACCGAGGAAGGTGTGAGGCGACGGCTTTGGTCTGTCAAAGGCTGTATGTCGCCCCGAGTGAGCAGCTTCGTGATCACGGGCCGTCCATTTCATTTTGATGCCGGTGTTAACCTTTCTCCCGTGGTTATGGGCCGTTCGTTTTCATGGTGCTGTTTGATTCTTTATTTATTTGCGATTGCCCGACGGGCTGAGGTGTATCCAGAGTTAAGGTCACTGATATAAACACTGACCTATCGACACTGATTACAAACCTTCAACGACAAAAAACTTCAATGATGCTTTCAATGCACTATAACATGCTGTAAGTTTGTAAGGTAAGCTTTGTGATCCAGTTTCGTGAGCTCTAGTTTAATAACCATCTTCTGATTGTGTCGGAGCGTGATCAATGCATCGTAATGCCGCACCAGAATTGAGCCCGGTGTCAGGTGACAGACGGGGAGGGGAAGTGGGAGGCGGGAGGAGGGGGCATCGTCGACTCGGCCGCTGTGCGGTGACCCCGCGCCCAGGAGGACCTCCTGACATCATTGCTCTCTTCGACGGATGTTGGCTAAGACATTACTCGGCTCTGAAGGATAGATGGGGTGGATAATGTGTTGAAGCTTAGGTTTATGTTTAGGCTTAGGATTCGTTTCTTCTATTAATGCTTCTATTTAGACAGCAGAAGTCCCTCAGTAGCTGGTCATTATATGGTGTTCGCCAAAACGACCTATTGGTATTCACTTTGAGCTTGGATAGTTATTTAGTTACCTAAACCCGTTAAAAAAGGATGAAACGGTCACGGTAGTGGTAAGAATGAGGAGGTAGAAATCTTTAAAAAATAAAATTGGATCTGTTTTATTGCAATTGTTCATGTAGGGCGGCGACGCTAGCACACAGCAGCATCTGCCTTTGTTATCTGTTACTTTTGGTTGAGCACTGAGCACTGAACATTGACGGAAGAACTGGATATAACTAGACGGCTGGCGTTGTGTTACCTGTGTCAGATGGGAAAGCGAATACGATACGACCCAATTCTGTCACCCACAGCTTGCCCATTACTGGACCCGAACGCTGAAGGCAAGGCCAGGCTTTCATTCCACAGGCTGGCAATCTCGCACGCGGGTTACTGGAGTAGAGCGGGGGTGGGGGAGGGAAGTGGGCTGTTGACAACGCGATGTCAGAGGCGCGACGGTGGACTGTGGGCATACCTTTGGCTGGTTTTAGCGAGTTTTGTGTGCTGTGGCTGTTGTGAGGCCGTGACCTTGAATTCCGTGAGCTGTTAGCTTCCTGTGAACCAGGGTTGGCAATGGGTGGCAAAAACTGGTTTTTGCCAGTGGTTTTAACCGGTTTAAACCGGCTGGCAGAAACCCCGGTGGCAAAAACTGGCAAAAACTGGATAAAACTCAGGTGGCCCAAACCACAACTTGTCTAGTTAGGAATGGATCTGAAATGTACAAATGCATTTCTGGATGTTATAGAGATGCACCAAACATTCTGAAGTTTGCCTCATTACTTATCCCTGCTTAAAATGTCTATGCATGTCGATTGTCGGTAGACATCCCCCACAGAATGCATTTCCATGTAGGGGAGAGTGGGCAAAGCTGCCACGGTAGGGTGCCGTGCGCATATCAGTGGCAGATACCCCTTCGCACTTCTGATTGTGCAGGACTCACTCTTGCACTGGCTCATTTGTCAACCCCAAAAGGCGTCTTACTGGTTCCTTATGGAAAGCCCATGAAAGTGTTTTTGAGTTATAGAACACTTCAACGGTCAATGTCACTTCTGTTTGAAAGCATAAAGCTTTCACCGAATTCTTCTTAAGATGTTTCATGTTCAAATCCATGTCTAGGCATATCATTGTGATGGTTTTTAGTTTTTGCCAGTTTTTGCCACTTTTTGCCGGTTAAAGCCGGTTTAAACCGGCAAATGGCATAAACTAGTTTTTGCCGGCAAAAATGCCAACCCTGCTGTGAACTCTGCGTAACCCTGGGCTAATGGGTTTTCACCGATAGTTTATATCGGTGAGCTCTTTAAACTACAGCCTAGCTCTTTGTGAGCTAGAGCTCACAAACAGTGCTGACAGTGCTGACAGTGCTGACAGCTCTGTCAGCTCAGAGTGCTGACAGAGCTGTCAGCACTCTGATCTCTCTGTGAGCCTGTGTGCCGGCCGACTGACGGCTGACTGGTGAGTGGCGAGTGAGTGGCGCTCTCCGTCCGGCCGCGCCGTACCGGCAGTAACCCGCTGCGCTCCCACGTCGGTCACTCGCCCGGCCCCTCCCTCCCCTCCCCTCCCCTCCCCCGAACAGCACGTGGGAAGTTTCCTCACGGCGCCTGGCGTGTCAACCGGGCCGGACCAAATCACACCCCGGAAAAGATGGCGGCACGCCGCGGCGGCCACTCGGAGGCCGCGCTGCAGCGCTGCTGCACTGTGGGACGATTAGCGTCGAATTGTGAACACGGCGGCTGAGGTCGGACGCACGGCGCCTAAGGCCGGGCACTGGGCGACATAGCTCGGACACACAGGCGACTAAGGTCGAGTGTAAAGCTGGGTAAAAGGCGACGATCGCTCGCTGTCGTCCGTGGGACAATGACTGGATGTGATTTAAAACCACCCACAACCACAGCCTGTCTCGTTATCAACTGCCCAGTCCCAGTGCACGCCGTTGTCACTCAGTACCCCTCCTGAGGCGACTGGTGGACGGCGGTGCACTGAGCGCCGTGCCGTGCACTAACCGCTGCGGCCGGCCGGCGGCCGGGGCGCTCACTGCTCTCGGCCGCTGGCTCTGCGATAAACATGATGTCCGCCCGAGGCGCCAACGTAAACAGACGCCGGCAGAGGCGGCGGCACAGGGCGTCACTGGTGTGACATCACTGGGCATCGGACGGCGCCGGCAGTGACCGGCGCGGCAGTCAACGCCGCTGTTATGGCGGCGGAGAGGGCGGGTTCGATTCTCGGTCATGTCATTTTATGTTATCTAAGCATTAGCCTTTTACTCGTATCATTCATTTCCACATAATATAACAATCTGTATCACGTATCATCCTGCCCTGTGACCTGTTTTAGGTATATCCAGCGACCTTGTCATTCTCACGTGCTGTCCTGTCATCACCAGTTGCGAGTTTTTAATTCTCATCAATAAGTTACTGATACAATGCCACGATGATAAAGCAATAAGGCGAGGCCGAGGACTGACAGTTCTGCGTCGATATTTCGATTTCGATAGATTCGAGAGATTTTAAATAAATTATAAATTATTTCGATAGACAGTGTTAATGTTCTTTTCTCCGCAGCTGTAGTTCCGGTAATAAATTATTTTGAGCATTTTCCTAGGTGTTGTTTTTATTAGCCTTTTACTATACAGACTTACTATATACAGACTTTGAGCATTTTCGTATCTTAGTTTATTGCTTGGCGACTTTGGGAAATGCAGCGCCAAGTATTGGTCACACCAAGAGGTTTGAGCGCGTTCTTATGTTTTCGACTCTGAAGAATCCCCACCCACTCAATCCATTCTTGCGAGATCGGAGTAATATTATCTGGTCCTGATGTCTATCCCCGTGTCTCGGCAGATCCTCTCGGAGGAGAAGGGCCGCGCCGAGAACATGGCCGAGGGCCTGGAGGAGGAGTCCAAGAAGTCGCTGCAGATGGAGGCCGAGCTGGAGCGCCACATGTCCGACTGCGCCAACCAGCGTCAGCAGCTCAAACACGCCCTGGCCACCGAGGAAAAACGGTACGACAGCGTTTCGGAGGCATTTTCCCGCTGGGTGACTCGCTCATTGCCTAGGACGAGTGGGTCGAGTGCGAGGATTATGATGCAGTGCATGCTTTCGTCACACGTTTTCCGGTTGACCTTTGAAACAATGCGTATTGCTTACAGCTGTATCTATTCTGCCAGGTATGAATAAAGTATCAAGCGATCAGCTATGGCTCGTCATGTAATCCGAACCCTGTGCTCCTGCGCGCACTCTTTACATGTGCGTCCTGCGCACCCTTCATTCCCTATTTGCGTACCCATTGCCAGCAGCCGTGCTCAGCGTTCTCCACCCAATGTCTTTGTCATGACGCTGGCCGCGGCGACTGGGCCGTCCGTGCCGTGTCCGGGCCTGCCGTGCGCGGCGCCGGTTGTGCCGAATGCGGCCGGCTGGGCGCGGTTTTTGTGTTTGCGGCCGGGCCCGCTGTGCCGCGCGTGAGTCACCCACCGTGTCCACCGGCCTTCCATGGGCCCAGTATGGTCGACCCTGACTGAGGGCGGGTGGCTGGCGCGTGCACGCGTCATGTTACAATGTAACGGTTGTGATGGTGCTGATATGCGCCACACTGACCCCGTGAGTGGGTTTAGGAATATGGGGCATTGACCGGTAGGTACCGGTCTCGTAGCATGGTGTTAAATGATGTTGAGTAGATACAGCACTGGGACACTCAGTGACGATAGATGCCACTATTATGTGCGGCAACGTAAAAGAAAATATCCCATGAAGCCAGCTCACCATTCGAAATTCTATTGAGTGATGGAGCCGGCATTGTTTGTGCTTTTTATGCATACTCTGTGCGGTTTTATGGTATCGGAGAAGTCCCCGGAGCGTGTTACGAATCTGACAAAACACGTCAACATCCGCCTGCGCGCGTGCCTACAGTTCCAGTACCCCGTGCCTGACCGTATACCTGTTGTCATGTCCACAGTATCAGAATCACGTGTCCCTATGTCCACAGGTACCAGGACCTATTGTCCGAGCACGAGAAGCTCCAGCGCGAGTGTGACCGGCTCAAAAACCAGCTCTCCGAGGCGCATCAGGTCGCCATGTTCCAGGTAGGAATCGATAACCACCTGTCGATAACTACCTTACACATCGTACTGACGTATGATGTGTTATGAGACTCGTGTGATGTGACTGCTGAGCGACCGGGCTGATGTGGGTGATGTATTAGTTGCCGAGTTTTGGTAGGAGCAGGACATGTTGTGAGGTGTATGGTGCAGACCGCCCGCTGGAGGTGTGACTTGGCATGCAGCAGCCAGCACCCGGTTGTAGCTGGAAGCCATATATGGACATCGGACATGGTTTATGTGCGGGGTAACTGGCCACTGAGCCCGTTCGCGCAGCGCCTGACACTAGGTTACCAAATCTGGGATCAAAGCTTTTTCCGATCTAGATGCACTGCGTGACAGCGACGACAATGTGGTAAGCATGATTAGGCATGCCAAGGTAGAAATGATATGTAAATGTAAAAATGAAGAAATATAACATCACGACGCCCAAAGATGGCGATTGCGGCGCCCGCCGTCGGCTACTCAGCTTGCCGTGTCTGCTGGGCGGGCGGGAGTCCCCGCTCGTCGCTATCGGTGGATAGAGGGCTCCCAGGCGGGACCACTCTGTGGCGCTGGTTTGTTATCTGCTAACTGATGCCAGCGGTCTTTCGAACCAGGACGATTTGTTTACGTACCTCACGTCACTCGCCGCCGCCAATAATGCAGGGAGACAATACCACAAGGCTGATGACACTAGCATGCTTTTCTTTAGTCGCCAAGTAGTCAGCCTTCTGCTGCACCATTGTCGTGGCGTCTTTGCGTGCCGAGTTTTGTCTGTCTGACCGTATATCTGTGCGTTTGCAGGCTAACTCGATGGCTGGCGGCGGCGGCGGCTCGGGACGGTACGCCTCGGGCCCGACGTCGCCCCGGCCCGGCGGACCGGCCACCCTGCCGCCGCAGCTGCCCAGCAAGCCGGCGGTGTCGGCGGGTGGTGTTCGACCCGGCACCAGCACTGGTAAGAGACGGCAAACCTACTTAAGTCCTAGCCAGTCTGGACTACTCTCATATTCGTCTGGACTACACAGTACACATAAATTCGTGCACACATACGAGGGACAACATGGTACATGTTACGGGACAATCCAATGCTGGGAGAATGTAACTGGCTGCATATCGTTACGTCGCCCGCACCAGATCAGCTGAAAACTCTATGCTGTCCATAGTGCTCTCCAACCGAGGGGCCCGCGTTCCAGTCTCGCGTGCCGTGTTTGCTATTGTGATTTGTGCTGTCGCGTTCTGCTTTATCTCGTGTGCTGTTCTACTCCTGACACGCCCTATCGCGTGCAGTTCAGTTCAATATTGTCCTGTCAATTTCTATTGCTTCTGTCGAGCTCTCTCGCGTTCTCTCGCGTCCTGTCGTGTCATGTCGCGTTCTATCACGTGCTGTCCCTGCCGTCGTGCCTCTGGGACCGTCATGTGATCATGGCGCGCTCGCTATGTCCCGTCTCGTCCGTAACGCTCGTTCGCCGTTGTGCGTGTCATGCAGCGAGCACGCTGACGCCACCCAAAGTGGGCGTGCGCCGGGCCGTGTCACCAGTGGGGGGTCCGCCGCCTGACGACCTCACTGCTATGGCGGCCAACATCACCAAGGCGGTGCAGCCGACGGCGACCGTCTCCAGCCAGCCGGTGTCGGCGCCCAGTGAGTCGGAGGGTGCGAGGAAGGGAGGGTGGGAAGTGCTTTCATGATCACTATGGTGCCCAGTGGTCTCAGGATGAAAGGTTAGACAGCTTCTGCTTCTGCCTCGTGTCCAGCTTTGCTTTCTCGTTTTGGCTTATATGAGCTCCGTCGCCCACGCCATTATTTTAGGTGGTAAGCGGCACAATTCGTATAAAAAAAAAAATGATACGCTACACCGAGAGCCGATGTGTGACCTGAGGTGACCTGAGGTGACCTGAGGTGACCCACTGATACCCCAACCCCCAGTGACGGGAGTGGCGTACGGCGTACAACCGGGCGTGGCACTGCGTAACGTCCAGTACGGCGTGGCTGCGGCACCCCAGCCGACGCCGGCGCCGCCGCCCACCAGGTCAGTTATAGACAGATCGACGGATGGAAAACGGACAGTGCGACAGACTGCACACTGACGCAGTGACGTACTCATGGGAACTTTGTATTCATGAAGGGGAGTAAGTAGGCTCAGAATACCCCACTGTTATACGTTCTGGGTCGATGATGTGGATCGGAGAAGCCTGCGGGTATCCCTCGGCGCCTGTGTGCCCCGTGACTGCAGGCTGAGGCCCTGGAGTGTTACCCGCCCTACTGACTCTGCCTCCCTCCTTTAGCGCGTCGTCTCCGTCGGCGTCTGCCGGCGCGCCGCAGGTGGTGCGGGTCACTCCGCGCGTCTCTGTGACCGCCTCGCCCGGCACAAAGGTGGTCACCGCCAGTCAGCCGGGCAAGGTGCTCTTCCACGTGACCACGCCGGCGGCCGGCGGCGCGCCGCCCCCCAACGGCGCGCCGCCGCTGGCCCTGGCGCGCAAACCGCCGCTGGGCCGCGGGGTGCCGCCGCCCGTGCCGCCCAACAAGCCGGCCGTGCCGCCCAACAAGCCGGGCGGCGGCGGCGGCGGGGGCGGGGGCGGTAAAGCGTCGGGCCTGGCGAGCCGCCCGGAGCCGGCCGGCCAGGTGGGTGAAGGCGCCGCCGCCACCGAGCCGCTCGGACCCGAGCTGGCCAACTTTCAGCGGATGCTCGTCAGCATGGCAGGTATGCACTGTAGCCTAGTGCGCTCGAGCCCCCACACCCCACCCGGTGTCGGCGCGACGGCCGGCCGCGCTCCCCGCTCCCGGTCCTGCCGCCGATACTAAACAGAGTGACGACCTCTCCCTCAGTACACTTTCTTCCTTTTTAATTTCTTTTATGTTGTTCTTTCACTTGCCTGCTCTTTTTTCTTAACCCTCGCCGGACCTATTGGTTTTCTACATACGCGCCGGCCGAGGGGGGGGGGGGTACGACCCCCCTCGCCGTTTCGCCCCTGGTGGAGCTAGCGCGTCGCGGAAAAAACGAGCGTGTGCGCCGTTACGAGACGCAGAGATTGGTACCAGATTTTAAGGTCCTAGGTCAACCGGTGACCTCTGAGGTCAGGTCAAGTGCCCCAAGGTACGGTTCAGTTTTTGGTGAATAACTTCGCAAAAAACGGCCGCAGAGCGCCGATTTTGGCAGCATCGTGTTCGCCTCGCTCAGGCGCGTCGAATGATATACTTTTTGTCCGGGTCAGGTCAACTTGGGGTGTTGACCTCAGGTCAAGGTCAGGTCAGCACCCCTAGGTCACGAAGTTGGTTGAAAGAGGTCATGTCGCATATCATTCGATTCGGCAGGCCTTCCTGAGTCCATTGGTGGCTTTCCGGACTCGCTAGCTCAATTTGATCAAGAGTTATTGACGAAAAACTAATATGACCTTGATGACGTCATAAATGACGTCACGCAAGGTCAACATTGCAAAAGTGACGCATCTAACCTTGCAAGGAGTGCATCAAATCACGATTCTGTGTGCTTGAGATAGTTGGAGATCGTTCCCGGCGCCAGAATAGCAGTTTTCATTTTTCCCCATTGACTTATAATGGTGAGGTCACGAAAATGACCTGACCTCATATGACCTTTAGAAAAAATCCGAGATATACAAGTTGTGGGACTCATAATGGATACTAGATCCTGCAAGTTTCATTTCCCTGTGACATCTCCTCTGGCAGTGAGTGCGTTGCGAAGTTGTGACATCTGAAGACCGTGCAGAGGTTCACTTATGACGTCATAGGTCAGTGACCTGACCTGACCCAAAAATGCGGTTGGTGTCAAAAGATCCGGCTTGGATCAAAGGTCAGGTATGCCAAGTTTCAGCTCTCTATCGCCAGCGTGTTCGGAGCTATCGCGAAAAAACCCTATGGGAGGGGGGGGCGGCACCCGCCCCCCCCCCCTCGGCCGGCGAGGGTTAATCTCTAATCGCTTCTCTCCCTTTTTATATAATTTTCGTGTCGATTTTACTTTACTTTTGTTTCTTCTAATTCGGGTCCTTCCTTACATTGTTTTCAGTCATACACTGTAATACATTAGATCTTGACTTCATATTGTCCTTCCACCGCCCTGTTGATGGTTGTTTCCTTATGAAAAAGTCGTGCTCATGACCCATCGTGTGGAAAACTATTTTTAGCACCACAACTAATGTTAAGTTTGTTAACCCTATTAGTGGCAGGCTCCTGGCTACCCCATATTAGTGGCAGGGGGGGGGCTGTTTACGACCCCCCCTTGATATCTCGAGATCCAATGGGCCGATTTTCAAAATTCAAACGGCATTCGATGTGGCTCAACGAGATCTACATTTCTAAAAAAAGTAAAATTAAAAATGTCAATAGGGGGGTAGAGGGGGGTAAAAACGGGCAAATTGCAGATACATTTTAGACTGTTTATCACGGCCAGGTTTCTGAACCAATCTTAACGCAACTTTTGCCGATCGATAGAGAATGAACCAGGAATTCACATGGATCCTAAAAATATGCATTTTCAAAAATCATAGGCGGATACAGATCATTGAGATTGGGGGTACACAAAAAGTATAGTAAATAAGGTTTTTGTCGGTACTGTTTCTAAAAAGGGTGGCAATGGTCTTGTTATGTTACAATTTTCTTATGAGAGAACGACTAAAATTGTATTGGTCATGCATAGGCGGTGTCAGGGCACCTATGTTGGGAGGTAAAAAATAACCCCCCTTTTTGGACGCCTGGATCCGCCTATTATAGCAAAAACGTGTGAAAAGAGGATGCACAATAACTTTGTATATGTTATCACATGATACCTTTCATTCACTGTTCGTAAAACTGGTGCAGCATCGTGATCTTCGCCCAAATGACTCGCTTCACGAATAGGACCCCCCAATTCCCAGTGCTCTGGAGCCGCCCCTGGTAAAGTTATGAACTTGAAATTTTCAGGGAATGTGCCCAATTTAGTTTTAGGAAAAGTCAGAAAATTTCAGCATCGTAGCTTCAGCGGTTTCGGAGATATTCCCGAAAAACCTGAGGGGTGGATAAAAACAACCCCCCCCCTGCCACTAATAGGGTTAGCCCGCGCCCCACTGGGGTCTGTGTATAACACGCCCTACTGGGGGGGGGGGGGGGGCTATTCATAGCCCCCCCTCCTAACTCCGAAACTACTGGGCCGATCGTCAAAATTCAAACGGCGTCTGATAGCCCCGGAAAAACTGTCGAGCGAAACCTAATTTCATTGACCTCGAGGTCACCGATGACGTCACAGGTCAGGTCAAAGTAAAAATTATTAGCACTTTGGCTTGTTCACATTTTGGGCTCTGGCCGCCGTCTTACAAGTCAGATCAGGCTCATTTTTGGTTTCCACACTCGTGAACAGATGCTCTAGATACCTTGAGGGTACCAAACTTGTACTTTGATTTTCAGGTCAGGGTCAGGTCATCACAGGTCACGAAAATATTATATCATGCGTCGGTCACGTGACACATGTTTTATGGTCCATTTAGGCCATAGATTTCGAATTTGATGTCGTGTATGTCACTCGAGGTCATTTTGAGTCGAATTTAGCTTAGGTCAGGTCACTTTCAGGTCAAAAAAGGTCAAATTTTGAAGTTGAAATTTTTCAACAAAAAAGGTGTCTATTGGATGCAGTTTGAGCTCAGAAACACGATGGTGCCATTTATATTGGTGTACGATGCCAAATACGTACTTAAAAATTGATTTGAAAAATTAATAATTGTGAATTTTTTGCAATAATGCGTATAACTTGACCATTTTTGAAGATATTTAGCTAAAACTTGCTAGAGTTAGTCATAATCATGCGTTCTGTCACATATATTCCGGTTTTTTCGAAAAGTCAAAAACTTTTTGAAAAAAATATAAAAATATAAATTTTGAATATTATTATATAAAATTTTCGAAATTTTCAAAATTTTGAAAATCCGAGATAGCAGTTTGATAGCGCGGTCAATTCTGAGTTCTTTCATGCAAAGAAATTGGATCTAGCTTAAAAACTGAGCTCTTGGGAGCGATTGCCGTGGTTCAATTTTTTGCGTCGAAATCGGACGAACATGACGTCACTCTGACGTCATTTCCGGCCGACCTATGGTAGCTACGAAGTTCAAATTTTGACACAAGGTGTCAAATTGATGCAGCCGAAGGTACTGAAAGTTTGGCGTCGATCCGTCAAGCGGTTTGGAAGTTATTGCAGAAAAACGGGAGGGGGGGCTATAAATAGCCCCCCCCCCAGTGGGGCGCGGGTTAACACTCTAAACAATAACATTGCCCATAAACTTGCTATCGTGCGTGATATAATGCCTGAAGTCAAGTAGCTGGCATAGCAGTGGGAACAGCAAACGCTCCTTTGGTGCTGATTGTAACATTTGAACATAATTTGACCTGGGTTTAGCGCTGTATTGTGGCTAGCCTGCTTCCTAACGCCTCCCTCGTGTACTAATATCGACCTTATCAGTCCTGTCCACCGCTGTCCTCGGCTTCCGGTACACAATCCTCTGCGCGCGGCCGGCTGCTGCGGCTCTGCACCGCCCCCTCCCCCTCCCCAACCGGGACGCCCCCCCCCCCCCGGATATCTCACGTGCATGGGTGCCCGCTGTGCCATGATCCCCGCGCTGGGTAGGAGGGGTCTAACACAGCCCGCTGGTGGTGGGCAGCTCGGCCAGCAGGTGTCAGAAATGGACTCCTAGGCTGCAGGTTGGCGGAGCTAAGATATGGGTTCGCCTCATTAACGACTAACGTATTTCATAATGGATACTAACTAAACTCGTCCCATTTGGCGCTTCCAGAGGTTCTCATGGATAGAATAACATTTGCAGAATTAATTATTCCTTGCGTGCATTTTACTTCGTCAATGAATTTTATATGGAAAATGCAAACGCACAAATAATATGCAGCCAGAGGCCCGGAAGGCATGGGCACAAGCATTTCTCTGTCGGATAAAGCGCCAAGGTTTTGTTAAACCAGCCGAATTTAGGGTAGTGCTGGAACTGGCGTGTCTCTCCGCCTCTAGATAAGGAATTAGGCTAGCAATGGGTCTCCGGTGTCGGGCACTCTCAGTGGGCCCCGATGGGTCCCTGTCACGGTGGTGGGACCTGGTGGCCCCGGCGGGCCCGCTAACGGCAGCCTGGTGACGGAGCGCGCCGCCCGCTGTTCTAGAGCTGACCGGCGGCCGAAGGCGGGCCGACCAGTAGCGCCGGCGGCGGCGCCCTGTCCGCCGGCCGGCCACTGCAAGTAGGGCGGCCGCGGCCTCCGGTCCCTCAGCACGCCCCGCCGCACGCCCCTCAGCGCGTCCAGGAGCACGCCGGCCGCCTCTGCACGCCCTGCATGTCGCATGATGCACTCACTTGTCGCCGGCGCCGGGCTGATTCCAGGTGCGCAGTCTGCTCCCCCGCTGCCGCACTGACTCCCTCCCCTCGGCATGGCCTTTGTTGGATACTGAATTACACCCGCTTTTACTGGATCATGTGGTAGCGACGTGATCTGGGATCAGTTTCCCGTGTTTTCGGGTAACTGACGAGTGACTAGCGTAGCTATATATTCACGAGATTTCATTAGGTGAGATAGACGCAATGTAAGTACTGATCTGCATGAGTCGTAAAATGTCCATGTTGGCATTTACTGTAGTGCTGTCAGCTTGCCTAGTTCATCGCTCTACTCACGGCTTCCGAGTGCCCTTGAACCTGACGACAAGGGTTGCACAATGTACAATTAACTGTAGCAGCTCAGGGCCATGTAAACTCGCGCGCCTCCTAGACTAATGAAATCAGCAGGTCACAGGGTCCTTGTTTGGAGCGTGATACGAGTGTCACTCGTGAGTTTGGTGAGGCGGAGCGCTATACGATAGCTAAGCCCTGAGAAAGTCTTAATCGTTAACGAGAGCTTGCGATAGTTTTAAACTTGGATTTTGACCGATAAGAGTGTTGCACATCCAAGAGTCAGTTCGTATTAGTTTCTCCCGGAAGCCAGGCTCGTTTAGCTCACTGCGAGCTAATGTACTAAACATAATCATTCTACCTGATTTCCAAATATTGCGAAGGCAAAAGAAGGTTCCACGGCTTATTTCTTTTTCGTCGATATGCTACATTGTTTTCCTGACATCCCAGCTTACAGTAGGTGACCGAGACGAAATTATGCTCAATTTTGAGGTAGAAAATTCAGGTTAATGGCGATTCACCGCACGCCCTCAGACTTCTCTATATAATAGAGAAGTCTGTGTATGTATCCAACTTACATGATGATAAGCCGCAGTGGCTCGCGGCTCTCGCACGCTTCCCTGAATGATCAGAAACGCTGACCGCTGACCAGCTGCTTTTACTACTGACTTTCAGACCTAGTATACTCAGCATCGTAGTGCGTATCAGGTGTGGATAACATTGCGGTGTTGTACTTTCTAAAACGTAAATGCGTTTGGTGCTGGGGACTTAACATCGGGTAACTCATTCTCTTCTAGCCATTAACCGGTATTCTACCCCGGGGTCTCATTATTGTCAGATGTATGATGTTTTACTTGTTTCGAAGGTTTCTAATGCTGTTTGCAGTTCATCCTCGTCAATTTCGTTGACTTGACACGTTTCTGACATTCGATTCTTTGGCTATCTTCAGTTGATGGATGGTCGTTGGTCGTGAGAACTGGTTGGGCTCGATAGAGAGGGCATCGGGTCTCCTCTGGTGGACCATAAAAGACACCACACAAACACATATTCCATTTTCAATCTCAGTCGATGATTGACCGAAATTCGAGTGGCAGAAACGACTTGAGGTCAATTAATGCTGACGATGGTGAAGAGCGAACTCGTTGCTAATCTATAAAAAATACCTTATCTAAATTTTCGGTGAATTAATTATCATGCTGTTTTCAACGTCTACATGCCTATAAGCTGATGAAAGTTCGCACTGGCCGCCTCTGATCGGCATCCGGACATCGGACCAGCGTGTGACGCGCGCGCCCTATCCCCAGGTACCGCAGAGTTAGAGTCGCCGCCTCCGCCGCTGCCCTCCTGTCCGCCGCCGGCCCGTACCCCGTCTCCGCCCCCGTCCTCGCCGCCGCCGCCGCCGCCTCCCCCGTCCTCCCCTCCGCCGCCGCCCCCGTCTCTGTTGCCCGCCCAGCCACCGCCGTCGTCACCGCCGCCGCCGCCGCCGCCGCTGCTGACAGAGAGCAGCGTGTCGCCGTCCGCCGCGCCGGCAGCCGCCGCCACGGCTGAACAGTGAGTAGGGGCGCTGTGGGCGCTGTGACGGTGTATCGAGACACTTGATATCATGGCGAGCAGGTGCCGACGAGGGCTGACGCTTTGGCTGTGACACCCGTCGGCCAAGGCGCCTGCTCACTATGATATGAGTGCTGCTATATGATGATGATATGAGATAGAGTTATATGATATATAATATCTAAACTCTCCAGCCGCAGCTATGGTCATGTCTGTATAAGAGCTGTTCATTTGAACCTGTTTCCCGTCATTACAGACGCTTGCATTCACTGTCAAAATCTGCTCTTTTTTTATCTAAGCTGAGTTGACCCCTTTAGCGCTTCTCCCCGGGCTCTTGCGTCGGATATCAGTGTCTGTAGTCTGAGTGTGACGCTATTACTTCCTCCTCCATCAGGCCGCCCGCCGTGCCGCCGCCGCCGCCGCCGCCGCCGGCTAGTACCATGTCGCCTCTGATGGCGGCCATCGTCAGAACTGATGAGGATGAGGTGAAACGTCTGCTGGAGTCGTCTCCGGACCTCACCGAGAGAGCCCAGGTAGGCTACTGACTCGTGCGCCTACCCACCCCGTGATTGCATGTTTATTTGATCATTTGGATGTCGGTAGCTAGCGTAGTCTGGGCGTCCTCAAAACCCAAACCCAATCAGCATTGTAATATTTTGTCCGGTAGCCACTATCCAAGTTCCCGCTCTGAAATGGATAACTTGCGATGCTTGCTCATTTACCGGTCATATTGCCTGAAGTGACCAGCAGACTGTGCTATGATCGTCTCTGTCCGCCCTCAGGACGGTAACAGCCTGTTCCACCTGTCTGCCTCTGTGGGCTCGGCCGGCTGCTTGCGCCTTCTGCTACAGAAGTGGCAGATGGTCTACATGACCACAGACATGATTCCCGTGCTCACCGAAGGTAGGTGCTGCTTGTCGGTGGGCGCCATAACGGGCTATGCATACCAGTTCATGGTTGTTGCTTTGGTTGTAATTTTGTCGCTTGCGTGTTTTTATGAAAGCAAACAATGAGAAAATCCAGGCTAGCCGATAGACCTCAGGTGGGACTTTTGGAAGCCGGCGAAGGGTAAATTGTGCGCAAGCTTCGTCGGACGACCGACTGGTACTTCGGCTGGACTGTCGCCTATCACTACAGGCTGACGGCCGAGTGGTTTCTCTGCCTCGCCTGTCTATCCCTGTGTCACCCCAGACTGACTGTTCTCCCCTTGTCTCCAGTGAACGCGTCCGGCAGCACGGTGCTGCACCTAGCGGCGCTGCGTGTCTCCGACCAGCACCTGCGAACACTGGTCGACTACTGTCCGCAGCTGAAGCTGGCGCTGCGCAATCAGCTGGCGACCAACCTGCGCCAGCTGGCCAGTCCCGAGTGTCTCCGCTACCTGGACAGCCTCGGTGAGCGCCCAGCGGACTGGACCGGCGGGGGTCGAGCAATGGGTCCTGCGAGTATTTTATCCGGGAAGAAACAGACTATGCTTTTCATATAACTTGAAGCACCGCGTTGATAGCCTGGAACTGTTTAGTGAATGACTTTCTTCAATTCAATCAGTTATCTTTTTTCGCAACCCATCGGGCAAGTTAATGTATAGCTAATGAGACCCCTCTCGTGTTACTGATCCTGACCGCTGGGTGCGCCTATTTGTCCTCAGGGGACAGTCTGGAGCGCGTCTGCTCCGTCTACATCGTCTGCCGGCTGACTGCCTCTCGCCACATCATCGGCCAGCTCAAAGTGGGCGCTGCAGCCAACTGGCAGTGGCTCACCCAGTCGCTCTTCAACCTGTTCATCCGGCACATGCAGTCTCTACACAGGTGAGATCATCCTCCATCGGGTAGTGTGGGTGCCAGGTGCGCACATGTATTGAGGTGTAAAATTATGGGCGCCCAATACCTTGGAGGTCCGAACTCCGAGCGCTCAAAACCCCAACTCATCTCCATTATCATCAAGTGGCATACTGACGTTTTGCCATAATTGCTCGCTCTATCGAGTTTCATGATTATGGTGTCACCTGCTTCCCTTCTTTCGGTTCTCACCATATGTCTCTACCTCGGCAGGGCGTTCACGGACGAGCGGCCGCTGACGCTGACGCGCAAGGAGCGCTCCCGCTCCGACCCGTTCCCGGAGCGCGGCCAGACGGCGGCGCTGGGCCTCTCGCCAGACGCCGTCGAGTCGTTCAGCGCCGGCGCGCACCGCTGGCGGCGACCGGACCCGGCCGGCGTCGGCCGCGGGCCGCACCAGACCCTGTGCGAGCAGCAGGTGGATGAGCTACTGGTGACGCTCCGGCCGGCGGAGGACGCCGCGTATGGGACCGCCCTGCCGCTCAGCGTCATACACAACTACGTGCGACTGGTGAGTGGCACGCAATTATAGACAGTGAGGTGGGGTGTGAACTTTGAAAGGCGTCAATGTCCCTTTTGCCGTATACTGACCCTACTCAGTTACTGGGTAACCCAGTTACTGGGTAACTGGGTATCCCAGTTACCCCTTCGTCGAGCTGGGCGACTGACTGACTGTCCACAGCTGGACATGGTTGTCTCATTAACACGACGGTGACGCACTGACCGTTGCTAGCTCTACTGCAGAATGGTATGTGGCCGGGGCTGCTCGCAGCTGCCTTGTCGGCCCGGTTGATGCTAGCGTGGCTCATTAGTAATGCCGTGCCATGTTCAACCCGCTGTTTTTTTTTTTAATCGCGAGTGATGCATTGTGCGGAACAATTGCTTGTTAGAGTGTTGTGATACATCAATGTCTTCATCGTTCGACAATGCAGCGTTGTAGAACAGAAACTTATGTTCGTTTCTTCACGTTGGCCAACATTTTACATTTGTAGGTAGTGATGGTAGCGATGACCCACGATGCCATATTTTTTCGCCGATACACTAACTCCTTGGCGAATGATACTTTTTGGCATTTGTGTTTTAGTCCCTTCAGTAGGTACTCTTACGACCTGCATCGTTGTTTCGTTCGAATAACAGCTGTCAACTTCATTATGACCACAATGTCTCCCCGCCGCCGCAGCTGGAGGGCCACCACGCGCTGATTCTGGACGTGCCGGACGGCTGGGACCGTGAACTGCTGGGGCGCGCCGTGCTGGCCGCGCTGGCTGCCCAGCTGCCCGAGCTGCCGCTGGTGCGGCTGCCGGCCGACGAGCAGTGGCCGGCGTTCCCGGCCGGCGCCGGGCCGCTGCTGGCGCACCTGGACCCGGTGTCGGGCGGCGCAGAGGCGGCCCGGCGCGCCGCACAGCTGCCAGCCGGCTCCTACCTGCTGGCGGCCGGCGCCGGCCTGGAGTCTGACGGCGCGCCGCTGCCGCTACTGCAGCTGCGGCCCGAGGCGGCGCCGCTCTCGGCGCTGCCCGGCCGCCGGCTGATGCGCCGCCTGCTGGAGGCGGCCGGCGGCGCGCCGCCCCCGCCCGAGGACGCCGTGTTCCGTACCTGCCGCTGGGCGGCCGGGCTGGGCGGCCGGCTGCTGGCCGCCGCCGCCCGCCGCCGGCTGCCGCTGGCCGCGCCCGGAGCCGAGGCGTGGTCGGCGGCGCGCGTGGCTCCCGGCGAGCCGTGGCGGCTGATCCGCTGGGTACAGAGGCTCTGGGAGACGACTGTGGTGCCGGCCGTGGCGGCGGCCGTGTCCGACCCGGCCACACTGGAGGAGACGCTGATCTACCTGAGAGACGCGGCCGTGGCTGAGGACTGCCCGCTCAGCGGAACAGGTCAGAGATGGGCGCTCTGTGTGTCTCTCGCGTGTCTGTGGGATTACTGTAGCCTCGATCACGAAAGTAAATCGCTTACTTTGTACTTACTATTTCCTTCGCACATTGTTGGAACTTTAAAGTCAATCGCTCAGCCAAGGTAGTCGTGGTGCATGTCCAAACTTTGTTGTGTGAAAGGTTGATTGCTCTGACCTGGTCGCATGACCTTACGCCTACCCTTTCGGTGAAGAGTTTACACCATATGCTGGAAGCAGGGTAAGTTTTAAAGGATATAAAGCGTGCCTTTTTTCGGAGCGCCGATCGCTCACTGCTAACCGCTGGCCCTGTTACAGACCGCGACTACCTGCTGTCCTCGTTCGAGACGCGTCCTTCCGGGGCGGCCGCCACGCCGGAGCCGCTCGGCTCGCCGGGGAAGCGGCCTCGCACGCCGCGGCACGCCCTCCGCGGCCTGGGTCCGCTGCTGAAGAAGCTACCCGCCTCGCCGCGCCACGGCCGGGACAGTTGAGCGGCGTTCTGCCGGCCCGGCGGACTGACCGGCTGTGTAGGTTAGGGACCGACTGGGCTCAGTGACAGTGACAGCCGTGGGCCGGTGGCTGGTGTCGGTACTCATGGTGGACAAGGTGCCGGGCGGCGGACCGATCCGGCAGTTCTACTCGTGATGGTGCGGCGGTTTAGTGGTGACTGGTGCGGTGGTTCAGTGGTGCGGCGCTCGTGGAAAAGTGGTTCAATATTGCGGCGTTGGTGGTGAAGCGGTTCAATATTACGGTGTTTGCGCTGCGGTGCTCGCGGTGAAGTGGTTCAATATGCGTTGTTGGCGGTGCGGTGCTCGTGATTAGCGGTTCGTAGACAGCGCGGGACTGCGACTGACAGACAGACAGACAGACGGCGGCGCCGGGGCCACTGCTCAACGGCCGCGCGGGAGCCGATAGCCAGCGTACGGCGCGGTGCCGGGCGGCGCAGACCGCTCCGAGACACTGCTGGCGCCGGGAGAGACCGCGGCCCGCTGTGGTAGCCAGGTAGCGGGCGGCGCGCGGCCGCCCACGTGTAGTCCCCTTAGCTGAGCGGTGGCGGTGTCTAGTGTGCGACTCGGGTAGTGCGGTGTAGTGGACAGTGCCGGCGGACGGCGCGGCCGTGTTACTCTCTCTGTGTGCGTCCTGTACAGGGTACTGCGCGTGCGCGCGCGCGGATGGCTGTACCCTGGCGAGCGACCGGCGGCGGCCCGTGTGCGAGCTCTATTTTTGACCGTACAGCGTACCTGAGGGCACGCCACCGGTCGACAGATACACATGGAAAAGATCTGGTTTTGTCGACATGAATCGTCAGATTCGTTTATTTTTATTTTCTTTGCAAGTGTGCGAATTATGTTTGTGTAATTTATGACTCGTTTCACCTTTTTTATTGTATATGCTTTTCTAACATCAAAGTATTTTCTAGTCATTTGCGATATTAGGATGTCGGGCGCTGGGCTGTTGAGCCCACAGCCGGCCGGCTGGCCGGGCCTGTGTCGAGCGGGACTGGCTCGGGGCCCGGGCTCATGTGTATGTAGATAAGCTGCCTCTCTTCGTCTCTCAGTCTCTGTATCATATACAGTCATACAATAAATGGAATAGTATTTTAGAATCGTCTTTGGAACGGAGGCGGGAGTCCCAGTTACGCAGGTTCGTGGCCGATTTACCTTGCTTGCTCCGTGCCATTTCCGAGAGTGTGGAGCGAGAGTGATCCATGCGTAGATGTGGCTTTCGTCCTGCTAGCGCAACCCACTCACTTGAGTCGGACGTGGCCCTGTTTCGGTACTGGGCCCGTATTCAGGTCGACGTTTGCGTAAGTATAAATTTCGTATTCAGGTCGACATACTTAAAGGAAACAGTTCACTTTCCTGAAAGTAGTATTTTGCTATTGATTTATGATTGTTTATGCTCAAAATGATCATGAAATAAAATAAAACCTTGTTGTAAAAACAATTATTTTCTATATTTTAATATAGGACGAACTAGGGGAGAGCGGGGCCAGTTGAAACACGGGGTCAGATGAAACATGGCTTTATTTTCAACAATATGCAACATATGGTGTTGCCGACACCACTGCGCATCCGCGCTCGACCACTTCCTTTGTCAACGGCGTTTGGGCGGCAAACGGACGGTAATTTTGATTTGACAATTGTTTTTGTGTTTTTGAGGGGCGTTTGGGAGAAATCGTTGTTATGAATATTTTGTGATATCTCATATACCTTTGTTTGCTGAAAGAAGAACTCCTGGCTCCGGAATAACACCTTATTTGGCCCTTCATTCAGCATGATGCCGTCCCTCTAGCTCGTTTGACATGTGCTTTACGGCGCGTGCGAGATGGCGGGAGCAGATGGGGTCAATTGAAACACTTCTCTGAGGGTCAGTTGAAACAGGGCCACAGGCCGTTTCAATGGACCCCGGTGACCTTTGCAATGGTTATTGTTCAGGGGCTGTAAACATTAAAGGAAATAGTCCACCTTTGAAATGAGCTTTTAAATTGAAATAGTAGTTTAATAGAGGTCAATTTTTGACCCCTTTTTCTCCAGCCTTTTGCTTGAAAGCACACTGTAGCCTGAGATATTTCTCATTTTTCTCATCCACCCATTTTACCATAGTCTATGTACTTTATGTCACCTATTATGAGGAACTTTGCACTTTTAGCTTTCCAACGACCTATTGAATGTAGCATTTGGAAAAGTAAACCGGACAAAATATCTCCTTAAGAAAGTGGCCTTAAAGAGGAAAACATCCCATTGTTAAGGATAGGTGCAATTGACCCCATGGGCTGGTTCAATTGACCCTCGCATCGGGGTCATTTGAAACGGGCGTAGAGCTGTTTTATAAGCATGCGTTTGGCAGCAAAATATGTTTGAAACATAATTTTACATATCTTAAAATAAAGCCAAAAGAGCATATTTTTTCATGGCATTGTGCATTTTTCGATATGACAACTAGATCTCGCTGTGCATGTCAATATATAAAAAGTGGTTCAACTGGCCCCGCTCTCCCCTATATTCTATGTAAAATAATGTTTGACGCGGAAGCTTATTGCGCGTTGACCAATCATATCGCGTAGTTCAAACCTACGCATACTGCATTGGCTGTAAGCAGCATGCTGATTGGCTGACGATGACGTGGCTGCATTCCTGTGCAAGGCACGCATTCCTCTGCAAGGCACTCTTTTCGGAATGAGAAATGGAATATCTTCGTCTAGGGTGATCGTTGAGCCGTAAAAGCTCCTGATTTGTGCTAGTCTCAGCCCAAGCTACGAAACTGCTATTCCAGTTCAAAACCCCATGTTAAAAGTGAACTATTTCCTTTAACCCGCGCACCGACGGGGGTCTGCGCCAACTTCGCACCGACGGGGGGGGGGGGCGGATGACCGCCCCCCCTGAGATCTCGAGAACGAAGCAAGATAGCGACAAGCGGTAAACGGCATCGGATACGCACGGCCAAGATCTACAATTTTTACTAAGGTCATTTTCAGGTCAGGTCTAAGATGACGTCACGGATCGAAAAAGTCAAAATGGCGGCGCTGGATATGGAGAGTTTTTCTCGAATAACTTTCGAATTAGTCAAGATAGGAACAAACTAAGGGCATCATCGTGATCCTCTCGTCAATCCGCATCGAATGATATATATGTTGACATCGAAAGGTCAAGGTCAAAGGTTGACCTCAGGTCACGTGACCTCGAGGTCATCATGTATATCATTCGATGCGTCTTGACGAGCTGAACACAATGAGACCATCCACGCGTCTGTATCTTGTTCCTGTACGGAGTTATTGGCCAAAAACCTTTGGTGACCTTTGATGACGTCACATGACCTCACAGCTGCCCAACAGCAAAACAGACCTCAAGGTAGTGAAGGTTGATCGTATATGAAGTCATGTATGGTATATGGGGCCATTCTGACCCGTTTTAGTGGTAAAAACAGGGAGTTGATTTTTCCCCCATTGACTTATAATGGGGAGGTCGCGAAATTGACCTGACCTTAGGTCACCGATATCAAAATTCCGAGATACACAAATTGTAGCTACTAATGACCTAATAATATCCTGCGACTTTCAAAGGCCTCCGACATCTACTGTAGCTCTGGCACGGTGACAAAGTTGCAAAAAAGTGACTTGAGGTTGGGTCATTCAAAGTGACCTGGTGACCTGACCTTAAAAGGTAGGAGGTTCAAACTTGCACACCATGTGTAAAATTGATGAGGTTATAGTCATACCAATTTTCGTGGCGCTACGCGCCACAGTTTTCCCGCTATTCGCGAAAAACCTCAGGGGGGGGGCGGATATCCGCCCCCCCCGTCGGTGCGCGGGTTAAGTAGGTACTACTTGCGCCACAGCCATGTACTTACGCCATTTGTTATTCAGGTCGAAGTTTGATATTCTGGTCAAAAACTTAAGTAAAACCTGCGCCAGTTGGGATTCAGGTTGACATGCTTAACTAAATGCGTAAGTACTAAGTAAATAATCTACCTACGGTTTTTCCCCATTGGCTATGAATGGATTACCCCGGCCGGGCCCGGGGGGTAATCCAAACCACCGCAGCCCGGGGAGGGGCGTTTTTCGCCCCCCCCCCCCTGTGTAACTTCGTAAATAAGGGAGCTACGGAAACAAAAGCGATACCAAACGAAAGGTCCTTACGAGACGATTCTAAAGCACCTAAAATTTTTGACCTCAGGTCAATTTTCAAGGTCAGAGGTCAAGGTCAAAGGCAAAAACCGGCACATGTGTAGTGATCTCAAAATAAGCGTTCTAGAGGACGGCAGGATGCATAAAACCGGCAAAATTGGGTGTCAAACGAAAGAGGGGAATCTGATGATGCTGGTGTGCTCAAAATTAAAGTTCAAGGTCAAAGTCATGCTCAAACTTGACCTCAAACTTTGCACTTTTTCGTACATCTTGCGTGCTAATTTCCAATATGTTTTGAAATGTTTTGAGGCTTATCAGGTCCCTATTTGTGGTTCATCTTACGATACAAGGCTGCTCAAGGGTCAAGGTCACAGAAGAGTATCCTTGCTAGAGGCTATTTCACTGATTCAAGTTAGCAATAATAAATAAGACAAATTTGCCATTCGGAGGCTCTAAATGAAGGATTAGAGGAAAATGGATGCCAGATTCGTGATCAGCAAGTACGAATCCATCATTAACGACCTTTCATATGTCAAGGTCAACCAAATGTCATTCGAGGTCACATGAGGTCAACATAAAACTTGACCTTTTCCAAACAAAATATATATCATTCGACGCGGCTTGACAAGGCGAATGCGATGGTACCACTGCCGTAGCTCTAGGGCCATTTTTGTCGAAGTTATTTGCGAAAAACTAAATCCACATTTCGGGTTCGTTGACCTGACCTCTGACCTCAGGTCACCAAAAATTTTTTCAATTTTTCTCTCGGTCAAACGCTACACAACCGTGTTCGTAATTTGTCTTTATCTCTAAAACTCTATTTTTAGCAGCTATTTGAAGTTCGCGTCTGTGACGCCGAAGTTTACCGTGTAGGGGTCTAGAAAAATCGACCCTGTGACGTCATCAAGGGGGCTAGGTCCAATTTTTTTTTTACTTCAGAAGATGTCAAATTGATGGTAGAAAAGGTACTGAAAGTTTTGCATTCCTATCCCTAAGCGTTCGGGAGCTATCGCAAATATGTGCCAGGGGGGGGGGGGGCGAAAAACGCCCCCCCCCCCGGGCCTGCGAGGGTTAATTACTTTACTTGCCGTTACCATCGACAATGCTTTCCTTATTATAATTCCTTAGTGACAAAAGTGTTTCATGATTATTTCGTAGGCCGGACTAACACCATTAAATTGTGATAAGTGCATTCTCACCAAGCATCCGTTCGCACACGCGCAGTGGAACGAGGTGGGGCGGATTTCGCCAACCCCTCCTGTTTTTCGCCAATAACTCGCGCCGCAAACATAACATTAATGTGAAATTTCGGCTACCTGTCTAAAATTGAACTGCAGATCTTCTCGTGCAAGAAACACGAAAATCGGTTCACAACTTTTCTAGTAATAGCGGTGTAAAGTCAAACATCCTGCCGCCGCGGCGGCGCGGCGGCGCGGCGGGCGGCGCTAGCCGTTACGCGCCGCCTGAATGGGGTTGGGAACTCGATTTTTTAAGAATGCATGAAAATGATCAAACTATTTTCACAGAATTTATGGTGCATACCATTGCCTCATAAAATCAATAAGCTGAGAGAAATGGGGGAAGAAAGATAGGAAACTTGTTTTGAAAAGTTCTTGAAAAAAGATGCTCTTGATGCTGTTACGTCACATGTCACCTTCTGCGGTTGACAAATAATGGCGCATCTGGCGCACCACAGATTACATGTTATATCAATGGGTGAAAGACTAGGGTTACCCGCGTGCTCCGCAACGCGAGGATGGGTTATTTGTTACCCGTGGGTATTGGGTTGGTCTGTGTCGATTTGGTTGGTAGATATCCATTTCGTTCGATTGCTTTTTGACGGCCAAGCATTTTGTAATAAAACAAAAAAGATACATCGCATCGAGGTGCCCGTGTCTTATTATCATGCGTTCTACTTTAGAATGATTCGAAAACTGACGTGAAGTCTTTTGAGGGCCATCGATGAATTTCGCTAA